CACATCATGCACAGACATGTATGCACGCAGAATATTCATACACATAAAATTAAATTAAAAACTACCAGGCCGGCCTGGGCTACATAGCAAGACCTCAATTCTACATCCCAATATCCCTCATGTGGATTGTCTTATGGTTGGTTGACCATGATGAGTCAAGGACTCTTCAGAGACTTCTTGCTACTCCTGTTCCTCCCCTCCCTCCTTCTCTTCCTCTGCATCCTTTTGAGACAGCATCTCTCATCTATCCCAGGCTGGCCCCAAGTTCAATATGCAACCAAAGGTGACCTTGGAGTTGTAACCCTCCTGCCTCTACCTTTCTAGTGCTAGGATCACAGGCATACACCCTCATGCCTGGCTAGAGACTCAGGCTTCTGCACACAGCACACAAGCCAGATGCTTCTCATATGGCTCCATCCACGGCTTTCACACACTAATCCTGTGTCCCCCCACTCAAACCCTGCCCTAACCACAATGAGCTGTTTCCTGCCACTCAAGCAAATTTTGCTCCTTGGAGCCTCTGAGTCTCTGTGCCTTTGCGCTTGCTACGTTCCTTCCGTGGGATATCCTCTGCCTTGTCTCTGCCCCCAGAGGTTGCGTTTATTCTCCAACTCGCAACTGGACCTTCTCCTTTTACGGCCCCCTGGAGAAGTTCACTCTCTCCTTTGTCTGCCTGTACCAGGTACTACTGTGGTACTCATGAACATTAGGCAGCAACTTGTCTGACATAATCATCTACCTTCAATACAAAGATTTTCTAAGCCACCACCATGTGACAGGTTGGAGACGGGGATACAGTCCCTGCTTTCTTGGATCTCTGCAGCTCAGGGTGTTCACAGACACCGTTGCAGAATGAGTGATATATGGTGGTGTGCCAATGGCACAGGATTGGCTGAGTGGGTAGAGGGTCCTTAGACCAGCCTGAGATGGGGCTGTGGGGACCAGGACGAGCTCCCGGGGGAGGTAACGCTAAGATAAGAGCGGGAGCCCAAGCAGGAATCTGCCATCTGCTCCCTACCAAGCTCTTCCAGTGAGAAGCCTGCATCTTAGACATGGCTGTGTTGCTCCATGTCCCGCTCAGTATTTACATGCAGGGGGCTCTTCATATGTATGTGCTTGGATAAATGCACCATTGAGTAAACACAATGGATGAGTAAAATGCTGAGCAAGAAGGCAACCTCAGCCTGACACCCCTATTAGCCACCCAGACTAACGCTGAGGCTGCCTTGGCCTTTGCATGGCACAGAGTTTATTGTGGGTTTTCCTGACCTTTGGACTGAGTTCAGTAATACAACAGCTGCCTTATTTGCAATAGATGCATTCTAAAGCCCCAGTGCATTCCTGAAACCACAGATAGTACTCAGCCAGTACAGTGTAATAGGATACAGATATACTATATGAAAAGTTTTATTCCTAAGTTAGGCACAGTGACATTAACAAAAGTAACTAATAAAATACATATCCTATAATAAAAGCTGTGTGGATGTGGTCTCAGCTCCCGTAGGCAGGTAGCATATACTTTGTGGAAACTCTGGACAATGGCTTGTGTCGCAGGTGAGATGGAGCAAGGTAACACAGACCTCTTCACACTCATCAGAAAAGCAGATCAAACTCTTATGAATTGTCTGCTTCTAGAATTTTCCATTCATGTTTTTAGAGTTGTGGGTAAAAAAAAAAACCCACAGAAAGTGAAACCAGGAAGAAGGGGGAACCATTGTACTGTGGGAGTGATAAGTGGTTTCACATTTTTGAAAAACATTTTTGTGGCTTTTGTTTTGGTGTACTATAGCAAGAACTGCTTATTTTTAGAAGTACCAAGGAGTATGAGTAATGTTTTCCTGAAACTACCTTGTGTTTTTCTTAATACAAAAAGCCACCCCCCCCCAAAGAGTAACACCATCTTTTGCCGGGCGGTGCATGACTTAAATTCCAGCACTCGGGAGGCAGAGGCAGGTGGATCTTTGTGAGTTTGAGGTCAGCCTGGTCTATAGTGCAAATTCTAGGACAGCCAGAGCTACATGGTGAGAAACCCTGTCTTGGAGGGAAAAAGGAGTACAAAAGAAAACATTAAAAGTTGGGCAGGGGCTGGGAGAAGTCAGCGGGATAACAGAGATAGCCTTGACTTTGTATCCATAGTCCCAGGAACCCACCTGGAAGTGTCCTGTTCACAAGCAGGATTTCATAAATGATTGTCACCTGCCTCTAAGAATATGCTGGTGAGTTGGGGTGTGTGTGTGTAACTCAGTGAGTAAGAGCACGTGCTCTATAAGTGTGATGACCTGGGTGTGAATTCCAGGCACCCATGTAACAGCCAGGCATGGCTGCACATGCCTGTAACCCCAGCACTGGGAGGCACAGATAGGCAGATTACAAGAACTCCCTGGCCAGCCAGCCAAGCCTAGATGGTGAGCTTCAGGTTTAGTGAGAGACCCTGCGTTTGTGTGTGTCTGTCCATGTGTTTGTGTGTACCTGTGTTCATGAAATGGACAGAGGTCAACACGAGTGTCTTTATTATCTACTGTTCTCCAACTTATTTTTGGTTTTTGGAGAAAGCCTATCTCATTGAGACCGAAATTCCTTGGTTTGGCCAGACTAGATGGCCATTGAGTTCCAGGGATCTGCCCGTCTCTACCCAGACCCTGCTCTACAGTGTTAGAATGAGAGATGTGCCTTGCTACACCCTGATTTGATCTGCTCTGAGGTGTCTGAACTCAGTCAGGTCTTTATGCTTGCACAGCAGGCATTTCAACAACTAAACCATCTTCCCAGATTCCTAATGACCCAATTCCTTCTATTTAAAATTAAAATTATTTTTAAATTATTCAAAAAATTAAAAAATTATTTATTTTTGTTTTAGGTGTTTTGAGTGTTTTGCCTGTATGTATGTGTACTAAATGCATGCAGTGCCCAAGAAGGCCAGAAGAGGGCACCAGATCCATTGGAAATGAAGTTACAGTTGGGTGTGGCTGCTGTATGGATAATGGCAAATAAACCTGAGTTTCCTGAAAAAGCAGCAAAGGTTCTCATCCCTGAGCCATCTCTCCCCTCTCCCGGATTCTTTTTTTTTTTTTTTTTTTTTGGTTTTTCAAGACAGGGTTTCTCTGTGTAGCTTTGCGCCTTTCCTGGATCTCGCGCTGTAGCCCAGGCTGGCTTCGAATTCACAGAGATCCGCCTGGCTCTGCCTCCCGAGTGCTGGGATTAAAGGCGTGCGCCACCACCGCCCGGCTGGATTCTTTATTGTAGGTTTCCTCCCTCTCTTCTTCCCTCTCTTCCTTCTTCCTGGTGGTGTTGAGACATTATTTCACTATGTAACCATTGGGCCTGGAAATGGCGGTGCTGTGGAATAAGAGACATGTGCACCACAACCAGCATATATGCAACTCTCTATGCACCCCCCCCACCCTCCCCACCCCCGAGAGCCCTGCTTTTGTGGCAGAGCTGTGTAGGAAACACAGGGCTGGGGTAAGAACCCCTCCTGTATTTACCAACACCAAGTAAGCTGTGAACTCTTGGATGCTAAAGCTAGAGACGAATCTCACTCGATTGCAGGTGCCCCGGAACCAGTCTTACCTCTTACTTTACTTGGAGAGCGTACTCAGAAACAAGACTGTAAGCGCAGGGGCTGCAGCGATGGCTCGGTAGTTCAGAGTGCTTGCTACTGGTGCACGGGACTGAGTTCCGTTCCCAGCACCCATAGAGGTGGCTCCCAACCACCTGGACCTCCAGCTCTAGGGGATCTGACACCATCTTCTTGCCTCCTCAGGCACCTGCACTCAGATGCACATACACACATAATTTTTTTAAAAAAGACGTTGAATATCAGAATTCCTGGGAAAATAATGTGCTGGCGTGGCTTTTTGTGGAAACTTAAAACAACTGGATGAAATGTTTCCCCATCTAATTTTTTTATTTTCAGTTCTGAGCACTGAACTCCAAACCTCACACACGTCAGACAAATTCTCTCCCATTGAGCTGCACCTCCAGCAATAAAGAGCCACTCGGGCGAGGAAAAGCACGCGGTGGGGGAAACGGCGTGGTAGACCCCGTCTTCGCAGTCATCCCTGCAGGGGGGTTCACAAGGAGCACAAGCAGACTCCACACAGCATGGTGCTTCCTCAAAAAAGGAAGGGAAGAGGCTCCTGAGACAGCAGCTAGGGAGGAGCCGAGCAAACCATGACCTCACCTCCTTCTCTGTGGGCCTCCGGCTTGTATTCCTGCAGTCCCTGGGAAATTAAACTGTACACATCTCCGCGAGTGAATGGCTATAGCTGACTCCAGGCTTAAGTCAGAAAATTTCTGAAAATAGACTTCATTAGCATCTGCCTCCTTTTAAAAATAACACTTTGGGCCGGGCGGTGGTGGCGCACGCCTTTGATCCCAGCACTCAAGAGGCAGAGGCAGGCGGATCTTTTTGAGTGCGAGGCCAGCCTGGTCTACAGAGTAAGTTCCAGGCCATCCAGGGCAACACAGTGAGACTCTGTTTAAAAACAAATTATACAGAACGAGCTGAGCCTGGGGGCTTGAGTCTGTAATCCCCTGGAAGAGAAGCAGTTGCTCTTAACTACTGAGCCATCTCTTCAGCCCCTCAAATTAATTCTAATCGAAGAAGAAAGACTTTACACTCAATGCTTTAAGACATACAAGATGGGAGCTGGAGAGCTGACTCAGTGGTTAAGAGCATTGGCTGATTTCACAGAGGGCCTTGGTTCAATTCCCAGCACCCCCATGGTAGCTCTTCCCAGGGGATCCAATACCTTCTTTTGGCTTCCTTGAGTACCAGTCATTGCACATGGTACATGGACATACATGCAGGCAACACACTAATACATATAAAATAAATAAATCTTTTAAAAAAGATTCACAGAGGAGAAACCCTTCTAGCTTAAAATTCAGAGGAATACAAACCCTGCAAGTTTCCACAGTGACCCAAGATTGCAATTCAAGAGTTTTTGTCAATTGAGGAGCATTTTTCCAAGGTACAATCAGAAACAGAGTAGTAATTCCCCTTTGCCACTTCAGTTTTTATTAGCCCAGATAAGTGCATTTATCAGACTAACACAATTATTTTTCATCAAAAGTATTGGTGGAGGAAGAGGCAAGCAGATTGGGTGTAGAGACCAAGATTCAGATCATATGATGTTCTATTCCTGGCTGTTTGTGAAGCAATTAGTCTTAGGTCATGGCTATGCCCCAGGCATGTAACTGTGGTAATTCATGTCTTGTCAAGTCCTCAAATGATGCATACTGTGGGCTGGAAGATGGTGTCTGAGCTTACCTCATAGTCTAGAGGCCACAGTACCTTGTTAAAGAACCTTTCTATGCGGATTTTCCATGAGCTCTGAATACTTTCTGAATTATCTTAACATGGAGAAAACTTCTTTGCCCAGAGTAATGTTGTTGGTGAAAGATATCGCTAAACATCATTAGTTTTACTTGGTAATTTTTGGACCTGGCTATGGAGTTTACAGATGCCACCCACCAGGTTCAATTTACAACCACTCAGCATTTATTTTTAACAATAACTTTTCTTAGAAGATTTTAGTTCACACAATATGGTATCTATCTATAAGGTCATGTAATAAGGGCTCAAAGCACAGTTTGACTAAAACTTTACCTTTCACTCTATCACAACCAAGAAGTGAAAGGTGTGGGCCTCTCCTTCCTCCCTGTCCCTTCCTTCAGGATCTCATGATGCCTAGGCTGGCCTCGACCTCACTATGTAGCTGAGGCTGGCCTTGATCCTCCTTCCTCTATCTCCCAAGTGCTGTCATTATAGTTGTGAACCACCACGCCCAGTTCTGAGCCTCTTATTTTTTAAAGAAGTAGAAAGCGATGTCCAGAAAGGCCATCACAAGCATTCTCTCGGGAGGATCAAGTTCTGAGTTTAGGGAGCCCCAGGGGCATGAACTAGCAATCTCTGGTTTTTATTCTTAGGTGTGGCTCATGCTGAAATTAATCTGCTTTAAGCTTCTCTCCTCTGGTGTTGGTACTTCCTCTGATTTAAAGACTTTGCAGGGGACTAGATGACTATTGTGTTGTTTGGTTTTGGAGACAAGGTCTCACTGTGCAGCCCTGGATGGCCTGGAGCTCTTGGTAGACTAGGCTGCCCTTGAACTCACAAGAGATTCACCTGCTTCTGCCTCCTGAGTGCTGGGATTAAAGGAGTGTGCCACCACACCCAGCCCCCCTGTTTACTTTTTGTCAGCCAGAATCAAGGAGACAGTTCTTCAGAAAAGAAGGAAACTAAGTGGGGGTAATGACAGGGCAGAGAAATAGGAACGAAGGAAGGACACCATCTTGAGAAGAACGCTCCTGACGTGTTTCGGGGATAGGAAAGGTAAGTCATTGGTGGTCCCTGGGCTGAGATGAGTGCAATGGAAACCCCTGAGGAATGGGGCAAAACATTTTATGTTCCAGTAACATTCATTCATTTGAACTGGGGTGGCCCTGAGAAAACAAGGCTAAGACTGGATGTACATCTACAGTGGAAAATGACAGGTAACAGATAACAAAACAGCAGTGTGTTTGGTTGACCAATCACCATGAGGTTTAGCAAAAGCAGACCCATGTGCCTTGTAAGGAACTGTGGAGAGTCCCTCTTTGCAGACTCCTGAGGGGGAAAACCAGGCGCATTACTGAGTCCCCTAGAGTCTAGTTCTCTGATTGGAAATTCACTTTCCCCCAGTTTCTGTCAACATGTGCAGCATTTGAAAAAAAAAAAAGTCAATTTAAAAGCAGACAGGCTTGCTATGACTAATGTCAGAACTCCCAGAGCAGGCTTTTTCCAAAAATACATTGTAATTGATAGCACTATAAGCCCGGTATAAAAGGGCTGTGACACAGTTTCTGGCCCCAGGCTGGGCCAGATGTTTCCTGTTGGTTGGTTCAGGAGCAGCAGGAACATCTGCAGGGCTCCACACTCCTTCCACTGCTCCTGCTACGGTGCTTTAAACGTCTTAAATCAAACTTCTCTGTAAGTGGATCTTTCCAATGGGTATATTCAAACCGTCTACCTTCATAATTTCCAGCTTTCCTTTTAGTTTCTAAGAAGTTGCTACAAGAAAAAAAATTAGAGGTCAAGATGGCTAGTGTTTTTCAGATATTGCATGTTTCTTACACACACACACACACACACACACACACACACACACACACACACACACACACTCACTCACACAAATACCAGGGAAAGAACTCAGGACTTCACTCACATTAAACATGTACTCTACCATTGAGTTATATTCCCTTTGGGGAAAATTTATTTTGAGATGGTGTCTCAACTGAATCTCCTAGGCAAACCTCTTAAATTGTTATCCTCCTGCCTCAGGTTCCCAAGTAGTTGACCTTATGACTGTGTACCACCACACTAGACTTAAAAACATATTTTTGAATTAAAATATCTTTACATCCTTTGGGAAAACATTTTTTTTTTCATTTTTAGGTCTGTTTAGGCAAGTCTTGCTGTAGCCCAGAGTGGCCCAGAACTCTCTCTGAAGCCCAGGCTTGCCTCAGTCCTGCAGTCCTGTGCCTCTGGGGTTACAGGCATGCACCATCACACCTAGCATGCCCAAAGTAGGCTTTGGGTTTGTTTTGTTTTTTAATTTTATATGCATTAGTGTTTTACCCTAGGAAGTTTCAGGTAACCTGAAACTGGACTTAAGAGTTGTGAGCTGCCATGTGGGTGCTGGGAGTTGAACCCAGGACCTCTGGAAGAGCAGTCAGCATTCTTAACCTCTGAACCATCTCTCCAGCCCTTGATTGTTTTGAGACAGGGATTCCCTGTATGACCCTGGCGGGTCTGGACCTCATTATGCAGAACAGGCTGGTCTCCAATCTGTGATTCTCCTGCCTCTGCCTCCTGGGTGCTGGGCTCACAGGCAGGTGTCACCACACTCAGCTCCAAAATTAGTTTTGAAAAACTAAAGCTTTTCCTTCTTAAGTAGGTCTTACAGGCTTAGTTTCCTCTGTGTATTTTAGTTACCAGGTGTTATGGGGAAGGTTGGAGACACAGGAAGTAATGGTTATCTTCTAAAAACTTACAAAGGGATGGTACAAGTGCAGTCACGCAGTGTGTTCAATTGTAGGAAAGAAGTAACTGGTAGAGAGAAATGACATCACTAATTATGGAGTGTGTACTTTGTACTATCCAGAAATCATGTTCTTCATATAATCATTTCAGTGATGCTGCATATTCTCATCTTTTGATAAAATGTATGAACTAAAAAGATCTGAGAGGTTGAGCAGCTTATTGAAAGCAACACAGCTAGCAAACAGCCAGGAAAACCAGTCACGCAGACACTGACCTGTCCGGCAACCTGTTAAATATGAGATCGCAATCTATTTCTTCAGAGTTGTTTTTCAGCAGCCACAGTTTATTAATGGCCCTACATCCCTCTGGCTGCTGTTTCAAGTGCTTTCCTGCACCAAGTGTGACTTTGGTTCCTTGAGAATTATAGCTATGGGTGCTGGAGAGATGGCCCAGTGGTTAAGAGTGCACGTTGCTCTTCCAGTGGACCTAGCTGGGTTCTTAGCACCCATGTGGGTGGCTCACAACTGCCTGTAACTCCAGCTCTAGGGGATCTGGAATCTGACACCCTCTTTTGGCTTCCCTAGGCAGGTACTGACCAGGAAGTTTCCTCCTTGTTGACTAGTTTTCATAATACCAGAAGGTGCTATGCAGGCTTCTGGGGAAGACAAGTAATCAACAGTTTTACCCAGCGGTGAACCCTGTGAGCAGCAGTAACAACTGGATTGGCAAGACATACCACTGGGTGCAATCGTGCCATGAATATTATGGAAGCAACCAACTACTTTCTGGTTGGGTTTAAGTTCCACTCCACAGGAGGTAACTCAGCAGCCCGATACTGTAAATTTGACCAAGATCCAGCAGCTGGGGAGCTCATAGGCTTCGAAGTGAATCTGCTTCGAAGTCAATTTTGCTAAACAGACATAGTATCAGACTGCCTTGTAACTACTTACCATTAAACCAACAGTGCAACTCTCAGCCATCATCAGAGAAGCTTCTTTTTGCCATGCAGACCAAGATTATACAGAGTCACAACTGGCCAAAGTGCAAAGAACTAATAATGTCTGTGGAGTGCTCAGCCACAAACGGGGCATCTCTATCAGGTCACCACCACCACCCAAGGCTCAAGGAACGTTGAGAAAGAGGCGGTGGAAATGGTTGTAAGCCAGAGATCTGGGATGCTTGTAATCTTCTGGACATGACCACTCGCACTTAGGAATTCACAGCAGCCATGGCTGCCTGTTAAAGATCCGTACAGGAGCAAGCCGTCAACAGTCCAGTATGAACAGCAACAGAAGCCCCACCTCCAGCTGAAGAGCTATTGGCTCCTGATGGCTGCTAGGAGAATGAGTCAGTTTTCTTTCGGGATGCATCCCTGGTAGATGACTATGGATGGCCTCACACCCATGCATACACGGGCAACACTAACTGGATTCGGTGGGTTATTTAACAAACAGGAAAAAGAGGACATCAAGTTGAGATGGGCACATGGGGCATCTGGGAGGAGAGGGAGGGTGAATATGATTGAAATATATTGTATATGCGTGTGAAACTCTCAAAGAATAAAAATGTCATAAAAATTACATCGACATATTTTAAAAAATTATACGTATGAAGCTGGGCATGGTGTTGAAAGGTTGTAATTTCATCACTTGGGAGGTGGTGGAAACAGGGTCAGGAGTTCAAAGTCAACCTCGGGTTAGACTTTATGAAACCTGTTTCCACAAACAAAGCAAATTTGTACGAACTTGGTAGCTTACGCTTACCATTCTAGCACTAGAGATGCAGACACAGCGCCGCTGAGAGTTCAAGGCTAACCCGAGCTGCACAGTCAATTTCATGGCAGTTTGAACTACAGAAGCTCTGTCTCAAAAAGCCCAAATAGATAATAAACACACTCATTTGTTTGGTAGGTTGGGGAGACACAGTCTCAGTGTGCAGCCGGGGCTAGCCTGAAACTCTTGACAGCCTCAGCCTTTAGAATTCGAAAATCCTGAGAACCATATTGCAAACTTGTGAATTTGGCGGTGATTTTTGCACCCCTTCTTTAGTAGCTACAATTTTAACATTGGGTTCTATCAGTCACTTTACAGACGATTCACTGGTGTTTTAGATTTTTTTTTTTCGTTTTTCGAGGTTTTTTCTGTGTGGCCTTGGCTGTCCTGGAACTCACTCTGTAGACCAGGCTGATCTTGAACTCTGAGAATCACCTGCCTCTGCCTCCTGAGTGCTGGTTTTAAAGGCATGCACCACCGCCGCCGCCGGGCCTTAGATTCTTAAGGGAAGTCACTTAGGCCAGGCTTGGTGGCGCCCATCTGTAATCCTAGCACTCGGGAGGTAGAGGCAGGCGGATTTCCTGGGAGTTCAGGCTAGCAAGAGCTACACGTTGAAACGCTGTCTCAAAAATAAACAAACAAACAAAAATAAACAAACAAACAAACAATTAAAGTCCTGGAACTAGCAAAGTTGGTAAACTGGAAAGCTTTTCCCACACCACCAGAAAGGCTGTTTGTCAACCATAATAATCAAGAGACCGTGGAGGCTCCCCGGAGGGCGTCACCCTCACACGTCAATTCCGCTGGCCCCGCGCTCGCCCCAAGCAGCTACCCGCGGAGCCCCAGGCCCGACTTTGGTCCTGCGGGGAAGGACGAAAGTCCCTCGAAGCGGGACGCCCCGGAGCGAGTGCACCGGACGGCTTAATAGGGAACAAACACAAGCCCGGGGGCCAGAAACAAAACACTGGCTTCGGGGCTCGGCCCCGCCCCCGGAAGTGACGCGAGGCTACGGCGTCGAGGAAGGGCCCCGACAGTGCCGCGGGGGGGGGTTTGAGAGTGGCGGCGGCCGCGGAGCGACGGGCGAGCCGGGCCGTGGTGTGGAGAACGCAGAGCGCGCGTCTGGCGAGTGGCAACCCGACTGGCCACCTCGCCGCCCCAGCCGCGTGTGCGGGGGCGGAGGGCGGGGCTCGAGACCTGCGGCGGCAGGAGATGCGGGCGGCTGCAGGCACGCGGCTGGCTCGGCTCGGCCGCCGCCGCCGCCGCCTTCTCGGGCCCCGGCGCGGGGGTCGCCTTGGCTGCCGCGCCGTCCTTGAGCTCCTAGCGTGAGGAGCGGTCGGAGACGAGCACCGCGTTCAAGGCCGAGAAGGGTTCCCGCGTACGGCCTGGTGAGCGGCACACCCACGCCCCGTCCGTCGGGGTCTCGCCCCGCCGCGCCCGCAGCCTGCTTCGGCGCGGGCCGGGCGGGGGCTGCGGGCGCGGCAGGAAGTGCGCCCGGCGGCGGCGGCGGCGGCGGCGGCGGGGGCGGGGCCGGGCGGTGGGGAGGAGGGCGGGGCCTGGCGGTGGGTGGGCGGGGCCTGCTGGCGCGCTCTCCTAGGGAGCTGTCCCGCGGCGCCCAGGTGCTCGCCGAGCGCCCCCTCCGCACTGCCCGCACCACGGTGGGTCGTGAGAAGTCCCTTAGGCGGAAGGTGGCAGCGGTTTTTTTTGTTGGTTGTTGTTGTTGCCTGGGTGGGGCGGAGGGGAACAGTTTTAACTTGTTGCATTGGCAGGAAGTTGGAAAGTGAAAGTGCTTTCATGGCTCGCCCACGGGCCGGAGGTTTGCGTCTCCCCTCACTTTGATCTCGGGGTGTGCGGCTTCACGCCGCATTCTTCCCTTCCCCAGCCTCGCTGTCTATCCCGCCACGGGTTTTTCTTTCTCTCCTTTTCAGCCGCCCTCCTCGCTTACTGTACAGCCGTGGCAAGCTTTTCCTCCGAAAAGCATTTGGAAACATGTTTTGGGCGAGGAATCCTTTAACAAGCGTCCGCAGGAAATAAGGGGAATTTGTTGGGTGAAGTCAGAAGACACAGTTGACTTTTTCTCGAGCCGTTGCATATTTGAAGGTTAGGTCATTTAAGTAAGATTTTTTTTCTACAGAACGGGTGCCTGTGTGCCGTTCTAGGGTCAGATTTCTTCTCCCTTCTCCCTGCGCACAGAACTTGAAGCTTCTGTATTTCCGGCTGGCAGTGGTGTTGTTGTTAAAACAGTATGATTCAACTTTTTCCCCCCGTAGGAGCTCTTTGTTCTTTGATCCTTGGTTTTATTTAAAACTGGAAACTGCTTACATGGAGTTCATTATATTTTGGGGAAATACTTTTTTAAGTTTTGGGATACCATTATATATTTGAGGTTGGGGATGTACTGAATGATACTCTCACCAGGACAAAAAAAAAGAGGAAAAAAGGTATACATCAAAGATCCCCTTTGTGTAGGATTCTGTGGCTCATCTTTGCTCCCTCCCTCCCTTCCTTCTTGTGCTGGGTATCAAAACCAGGGTCTGCAGCTTGTGTTCATCAGCTGATCTGCATCCCAGGCTCCCCTGTTCTTTCTCCCTTGCACTCCTTGCGGAAGGTAGCAGCTGTTTTCATTACCTAGCTGCAGTGCTCGCCATCTAACGCCAGTGTGCTAGAGGAGCACTCCACCACTGAGCCGCTCTCCCACCCCCCTACCACCCTCTTTCAGTGTGGTTTAGAGATCGGTCTTTGAGTGTTAAACCTTTGCCAGCATTTAACCCGTCAACGATCATATTCCTTCACTTGGATCCATTGAAGTCTGCCTTTGTTATATTTCTAAAAACCTTTTGGCCAGGTGGTGGTGGCACACACCTTTATTGGCAGGTCTCTCAGAGTTCCAGGACAGCCAGGGCTGTTATACACAGAAACCCTGTCTCGAAAAACAACAACAACAAAACTAAAAACCAAAACAAAAAACCTTCGAAGCTGTAACTGTTGTTAATTAGACAAGTCTCTGTCCATGTATGTTTCTGTTCCTGTCTGTCAGTATGTAGCCAGGCTGGCTTCATCAGCCCTCCATGCTTCCTCATCAGGATAGCCAGGATTATAGGCACGCACCTGGCCTGTTTCTCTTCTACTTGTCTTCTGGTTTTGTTTTGTTTTGTTTTTGAGACAGCATCTCATGTAGAACTGGCCTGGAACTCACTATATAGACTGTGCTGACCAAGAACTCAGAGAGGTCCAACTGCCTTGGCCTCAGAGTGCTGGGATTAAAGGTGTGCACCACCATGCCAAGCCCAGTTCTCTATTGTAGTTGAGGAAATCATTGAAGTTCATAATTCATATCACATTTAGGAGCTAAAGTGAAGAATTTCTACTGTCTATCTAGGAGTTCATTGAAAGAACAGCCTGACACCAAAATTGACTCATGGGTTGAGGGTTGTAGCTCAGTAGTAGAGGCCATGTTTACTGTGTGAAACCTTGGGTTTGATCCCCAGCACTACAGATTTTTAGTGTTGTTTTTGCTGTTTTGAGCCATGGTCTCTTATAGGTCAGGGTGGCCTTGATCTCTTGATTCTCTGCTTCCCAAGAGCTGAGTTTATTGTAACAGACCAGCTGTCCTGGAACATGCTGGCTGTGAACTCAGAGATCTACCTGCCTCTGCTTCCTGTGTGCTGGAATTAAAGGCATGTGCCACCAGGCAAGGCCCTGCAGACATTCTTGACATGAAGGTGGTGTCTGAAATGTGTTCTTCCCTTACACTCCTATTTATGAGTAGTTTTAACAGGCTGGACTATGATGTAATTGCCAAAATTGGAAAACTACTAATAAAAAGAATAAGAATAGATATAAGAATTGCCATAAGAATAGACATCATCAAAAAAAAAAAGTCTATTTGGAAAACTCAAAACAATGACAGGGATCACTTCCTCCCCTGCCACAATGGAAATGGTAGCCACTGTTTTAACTCTGCTTAAGTGAAGCTGTAGGGAAGATGTTGAACGGGCTCTTTGTGGATTGGTATTGCGGTCTCTGGTGTTTAATGCTAGCAATGCTCTTGCTGGATGGAGAAGAGGCTTCTCTCAGGAGTGGAGGAGAGCATGGCGATGAGGGAGCCTGGGATTCCTGTCTCCCTTTCACCATCCACTCTGATTGTGGGCCACATCTCCTTTCTCATTTTACTGTCTCTGCTTTTGGATTCAGTATCTGTACAGACAGCATCAGAACTGGTAACTAAAGACGAACGGAGGGCATTTTCATGCTGGAGAGCAATTCTAGAAACCCAGACATTTTCCTGGCTGGTGCTCTAATCTGTCCTCTGAGTCATGTGTTATTAGGCTTAGTCTTCTCATGCCTGAATTTTGTAATGCTGGCTGCGTTAGGTTTGTTTGTTTTAACGTCTTCATGGGAGTACCATCACCTGCCGAGAGCACACAGTTGAGTCCTTTTTAATGCACACTGAGTGGAGTCACTGCAATCTTAGTTGAGAACGTTTTCAGCACCCTAAAAGAAGCCTTGTGGTCATCTGCTTTCCTTCTCCAGTTTTCTCCCCACTCACTGCTCCTTCCACCCCATGCTTCTCCATCTACCTCAGCGGCTCAGCCACAGTGATCTCCTTTTGTCTGTGGAGTGGTCTGGTCTGAACACTTCATCTCATTGGAGCCATCCACCGGCCCTTTGTGGCTGGTGCTTTGCACATCTGTCAGGTTTTCAAGGCTCATCCGTGCTGTCAGTACTTGGTATCTTTCTTTTTTTTTTTTGAAAAAAGTGTGTGTGTGTGCGTGTGTGTGTGTGCGTGTGTGTACACAAATGTGAGGAATCAATTCCTTCCTTCCATTGTGGGTTCTTGACAACAAACTCGGGTTGTCAGGCCTGGTAGTTTGAATGTCATTGGCCCCCCATAATCTCATAGGGAGCAGCACTGTCAGTTGGTGTGGCTTTGTTGGAGTGGGTGTGGCCTTATTGGAGGAAGTGTGTCACTGTTGGGGGGCGGGTTTTGAGGTCTCCTATGCTTAGGATAGCTCCCAGTGAGTCAGTTGACTTCCTGCTGCCTGCAAGATGTGGGACTCTCAGCTACCAGCACCGCATAGGCCTGCACACCACCATGCTCTCCGTCCTGATGATAATGGACTAAACTTCTGAAAATGTAAGCCAGCCACCCCAATTAAATGTTTTCCTTTATAAGAGTTGCCGTGGTCATGGTATCTCTTCACAGCAATAGAAACCCTAAGACATCACATTTGTACAGCAAGTACTGTTATCCAGAGTCGTCCCCCTCCCCCTGCTTTAAACTTAATGGTATTTTTATCTTTGTGTGTGTGTGTGTGTGTGTGTGTGTGTGTGTAGCATAATGTACCGGGACAGCCTCAGGTGTTAGCTCTCCCCTTCTGCCTTGTATGAGACTTCTGCCACCATGTACTGCGGCCAGCTGGCTCCAGGCTTGAAGGGATTCTCTTGCCCACTCACATTTCCTTGGAGCACTGGGGTTACAGATGTTCACTACAGCTTTATGTAGATTCTGGGGATTCGAACGAGGCCCTCATTGCTTGTCCAGCATTCCACCCCTCTTGATTCCTTTTAATGGCTGAATAATATTCCAACATATGAATGTACTATATTTTATCATTCCATTCATAAGTTGGATGGACATTTGAATTGATTCTATTCTTAGGATTTATGAATAATTCTATTATGAACATTTCTGGTTTTGTTTTTTGTTTTGAAGCAGAGATTTGCAATGCATTTCTGACTGGCTTAGAACTTGCTATGTTGGCCAGGCTGGCATTGAGCTCATAGAAATCTGCCTGCTTCTGCCTCCTTGCTGTGAGTACCAGCAAGCCCAGAACAATCCCCCGGTAAGCTGGCATTAAAGTTCTTCTGTGGACATAGGTTTCCGTTATCTAGGTGTGTATGGATCACATGGTAAACTTAGCTGTAGAAGCATTGCATTTAAAATTTCTACCAGCAACGTGTGAGTTTCAGTTTCTGTCTGTGTTGGCTTCTTGTTGCTCTTTCTGGGTATAATGGGCATGTGGTGGTTTTTGCTTGTTTTTGAGTTCCAGTCCCTATTGTTAGTGATGGGGAGATCTTTCTGTGTGCTTATTGGCTATTTTGAGCTTTTCTCTGGAGAGACTCCTGTGCCTGGCTTTTCTTTTTATGCCATAAGAGTTGTTTACCTACTCGGGTGCAAATTCCTTTTATGACACATGATTTGTGAGAGGGTTTGGGGGTTAAAGCTTACCGGGGGATTGTTCTGGGCTTGCTGGTACTCACAGCGCAGTCTACAATTTCTGTGTAGTCCAATTTGCCTGTCTTTGTGGTGTTTCAATAGAATTGATTGTCTTCAAACCCTCTTCTGACCTGCTGGGATTTCATTCCTAGAGAAGAGAGAGTTTTTCTGATTTTATTTTTTATTTTTTTAGAAGATGTTCAGTCACTTTGTCACATATAAATAAACTTATGTTGATCTGGTCAGAGCTGCTGTGTAAGGAGTTCTTCCCATGAAGTTCTATGAGGAAAATGTCCCTGTGAGAGCACTACCTTGCTGCGTGCGTGCTGTCTGGGAGAGTGGTGGCCAGCTGGGATCATTTGACTGTAGAGACGGTCTCAGTGGCCAGGGTACTAGTGTTTAGTGGGCGGAAGCCAGGGTGCTGTTGAACCAGCTGCAGTGTGCTGGACAGTCCCACAGCACAGGATTAGCCAGCTCCAGCGGCAGGCTTGCTGGAATTGAGAACTGACCCAAAATGGAAGACCCCAATATTGAAGACTTTTTCTTCTGTTCTTGTCCTGATCACTAATTAAATAAAAGAAGAAACTCTTCAGGCTGTGAACAGCAACAGAACTTGCAGATTGAATTGTGGAACATTCTTTTGAATTCTCAGTGTTGTCAATTTGTATGTAAACTATCCTGCCATGATGCTTACTATTTGGAGGAGAAATACCAGTTGGACTAGGAACAAATTGTTCCCTCCACCTCAGCCTCCTAGGCACCCTGAGACACACGTCTTGTCAGATAAACACAGTGGGCTCATTTAGCTAGACACTGAAGTGGTCTTCTGAGAGAATGCGGCAATAGGACTTTAAAGGTAAAAGTGAAGAACTGACCTTCTGTTGACTTCTAGTCTTTAGCTCGCTCCTATCACTTATGGGGCTGGCTTTGTTTTCCTTGGAAGCTGCTTGTTTTTAAGGTAACATTTTTCTGCTGTCATGCTGGAGATGGAACCCAGGGCCTCCTGCATGCACAGGGATTGCTGCTGAGCCATACCCAGCTGTGCTTAAGCCTTCTGAAGCCAGGGGCTGGAGAGCTGGCTCAGCTGTTAAGAGTATGTACTGCTTTTGGGGATGTGAGATGGGTTCCCAACACTCATGTCAAGCACTCCAGCTCCAGGGGATCTGACACCCTTTTGGCCCCTGTGGGCACCTCTGTCATGTCCACAAATGCACACACAGACACAAATATACACATAATTCAAAATAAAAATAAAATATTAAAAAAAAAGATTCCTTGCTGGGCGGCGGTGGCACACGCTTTAACCCCAGTACTTGGCTGGCTGAGGCAGAAAAACTGTGAGTTCAAGGCCAGCCGAGGCCACACAGGCGACACCGTAAAATCAAAACCTAAGTAGTATAGCATATGTAAGAATGTGGATTCCAGTTTTAGTGTTAGCATTTGATACTCAGCCCTCTGTTAATCTCCTTCTGATAGGTGAAATGGTGGTAATAGGAGTAGTATGTATCCTGCAGGAGTGTGCAGGATACTTAGACACTTAGCAACGGTGCTTGCTGGCAGGAAGTGACTGTCTCACCTGTCCGTATGCTCTTTCAGCCCCTTGCTATGGACAGTGCCATCACTCTGTGGCAGTTCCTTCTTCAGCTCCTGCAGGAGCCTCAGAATGAGCACATGATCTGCTGGACGTCTAACAATGGCGAGTTCAAGCTTCTGCAGGCCGAGGAGGTGGCGCGTCTCTGGGGCATTCGCAAGAACAAGCCCAATATGAATTACGACAAGCTCAGCAGAGCCCTGAGATACTACTATGTAAAGGTAAATACCTTCTCCAACCCTGACGCTATAGAGAGATCCTCAAAACAAGAATGCATCCTTTGTCTCTGTTGAGATGCTGAGTACGAATGTGGTTTACTTAGTCCAATTTAAGTAGGATGAAATTTTTGTGTGTGCATGAATGTACGTGGTGTTCCCATGTGTGAAGGTACGTGTGCACCTGTGTATGCATGTATGTATGTGTGCGTGGGGGCTAAAAGTCAACAACAGGTGTTGTTCTCAGTTGCTTTGGGTTTTTTGTTGGGGGGTGATTTTTTGAGACAAGGTCTCTCACTGAACCTGGATCTTGCTGATTTGTCTAGACTGCCTAGCAGGTCCCAGAGATCCCCGTCTCTGCCACCCAGCACTGGTAGGTGCTCCATAGCTGGCTTTTTTACGTGGGTTCAGGGCAGCAGACTCTGGTCACCACACTCACATTACCAACGCTTTACCAGCTGAGCCGTCTCCACAGTTCCTTAATACCTTAAAGAAGAGCTATTGCCAGCCTGCTGGCGTGGTGGTGGCGCACGCCTTTAAATCCCAGCACTCGGGAGGCAGAGGCAGGTGGACCTCTGTGAGTTCAAGGCCAGCCTGGTTTATGAGTTCCAGGACAGCCAGGTCTACACAGAGAAACCCTGTCTTGAGAAAAAAAAAAAGAATAGCTTTTGCTCCAGGTATGGTGGCTCACCTGTAACTTAGCACACAAGAGGCTGAGGCAAGAGGATTACCATGGATTCTAGATCAGCAAGAGTAGCTATTTAAAATAGAGTTGATTTCTTAGTTTCAATTACACTTAAAATTTTTTAAAGTTTATTTTATGTGTGTGTGAGGGAGAGAGGGGGCCATAGCATGTCTGTGGAGGTCAAGGACAAGATTTTTTGTTTTTGTTTTTTGTTTTTTGGTTTTTTTTTAATTATTTATTTTATATACAGTGTTCTGCCTGCATGCCAGAAGAGGGCGCCAGTTTTAATTACAGATGGTTGGGAGCCACCATGTGGGTGCTGGGAACTGAACTCAGGACCTCTGTAAAAACAGCCAGTGCTCTTAACCGCTGAGCCATCTCTCCAGTCCTGTTTTTTGTTTTTTTAAAGATTTATTTTATGTGTATGAGTGTGTTGCCTGTATGCATGTCTGTGTACCACTTGTGTGCCTGGTACCCAAGGAGGCCAGAGCCTGCCTATTTACTTACTTACCTGCCTGCCTGCCTGCCTATTTATTTAGAGGCAGGGTCTCTAGCCCTGGCTGTCCTGGATATCTCTGTAGACCAGGTTGGCCTCAAACTTAGAGATCCACCTGCCTCTGCTTCCCGAGTGCTGGGACTAAAGGCGTGTGCCACCTTGTATCACTGCACCCAGCTTTAGCTTTCTCCTCGGTCTTCCCAGAGGATAAGCTTTGAGGGTCTGTTCTCACTTTCTGTGGTACTTGTTGAAACTGAGTCTCTTGTCGTCTGCTGAGCTGCATATTCCAGGCTCTCTGGCCTACAAGTTTCCAGGCAGTTCTGTCCTTGCTCCTTGTCTCTGTAGGAGTGCTGGGATTGCATGGCCATACTACCACACCAGCTTTTTACATTCTGGGGGCCAGACTTGAGGCACAGGCTTGCATAGATAATAAATACCCTTCCCTGCCAAGCCATCTCCTCAACCCAAAATTTTATTATTAATTAATTTATATTTTATGTATGAGTGCCCTGCATGTATATCTGCAGGCCAGAAGAGGGCATCAGATCCTATTACAGATGGTTGTGAGCCACCATGTGGTTGCTGGGAATTGAACTCAGGACCTCTGGAAGAACAGCCAGTGCTCTTAACCACTGAGCCATCTCTCTAGCCCAAAATTATAACTTCTAATACCTTGTGACTTTGGAATATTTTCTTGGGCACTGGAGAAAAATACACACCTCTGAAGAATAGACTTAGAGTCAGAGTCTGAGCTGTCTTCCTCCACCTTTCAGTGGTTGACCTTCCCAGCTGAAGTAGGGAGCTCACAGCTGTCGCGTGCTGAGACCCCTTAGCTTCCTCTGAGTGCTTACGGCTCACACCACTGGGACTGTTTGGAGACTGGAGTTCAGTGAGTTCTGACTTCATACAGGTGTTGGATGGAGAGGGCCAGACAGTCCCAGCCTCGGCTCCTTCCTATGTGCTATCTTATCTTAGTCCAGTTGCTGAGGAGGCCTTGAACTGCTTTAGCAGGACTGTGTTTGGCCTGGGGAGAAGAGTGTAGATGCTTTTGAAGCTTTTTTAAAAGCTATGCCTAGTTCTCAAATAGAGCGCTTCACTGGGTTCCCTTTTGCATGCACTATGAGATGTAACTTTATAAGAAAGTTAAAGAATGCTTGTCTTCTCTGTCTACAGAACATCATTAAAAAAGTGAATGGTCAGAAGTTTGTGTATAAGTTCGTCTCTTATCCGGAGATTTTGAAAATGGATCCTCTGACGGTAGGCAGGATCGAGGGAGACTGTGAAACTCTAAATTCCATTGAAGCCAGTGGTTCCAAAGATGCTGAGAGTGGGGGAAAGGAGCGGGCGCCCCAGCCTGCAGCCAAGACATCTAGTCGCAACGACTACATACACTCTGGTTTGTATTCTTCATTTACTCTCAACTCTCTGAACACCTCCAACCAGAAGCTTTTCAAGTCAATAAAGATAGAGAATCCAGCTGAGAAACTGGCAGAGAAAAAACCTCAGGAGCCAGCAGCCTCTGTCATCAGATTTGTAACCACACCCGCCAAAAAGCCACCCATCGAACCTGTTGCCGTTACCTTTTCAACAAGCCCGAGTATTTCTCCGTCTTCTGAAGAAACTATCCAAGCTTTGGAGACGCTGGTTTCTCCCACACTACCCGCTCTGGAAGCCCCGGCCTCTGCATCCATTCTGGCTACTGCTTTTAACCCCGCCTCTCCAGTCCCCTCCGCACCCCTCCCTCCAAAGGAGCCTCCTAGGACGCCTTCTCCACCACTGAGTTCTAACCCAGACATCGACACAGACATTGACTCAGTGGCTTCTCAGCCAATGGAACTTCCAGAGAACTTGTCACTGGAGCCTAAAAATGAGGATTCAGCTTTGCCAGAAAAGGACAAAACAAATAACTCCTCAAGATCCAAGAAGCCCAAAGGGTTGGAACTGACGCCCGCCCTTGTGGTCACAGGCAGTGACCCCAGCCCCCTGGGGATCCTAAGTCCGTCCCTCCCAACAGCGTCTCTTACACCAGCCCTTTTTTCACAGGTAGCTTGCTCTCGTCCTCTCAAGCGTGAATGCGTTTATTCATCTTTTAAACTGTATCCAGAGCTTATACCTGCACAATTAAATAGCTGCTAAGTAGGGCTGTCTTAGAAAGGTTATGTGTAAACCTGTGAGACTCATTTCCTTACCTTAACTAGAATCTGCAAAACAAAAGTGATTTGACATTTCATCTTTTAAAATTCATTGTTCTTGGGCTGAGGATGTAGCTCAGATGTTAGAGGGCTTGCCTAGCATGCACAAATCCCTGGGTTTCATCCCCAGCATTGAATAAACCAGGCGTGGGGCCGCATACCTGGAATCCCAGTACTCAGGAGGTAGAGGCGGAAGATCAGAAGTTGAAGATCATCCTCGGCTACATAGCCAGTTTGGGACCATCCTGGGCTACATGAGACCCTCTCTAAGTAAAGCAGAAGTCATTGATTTGCAAGGTTTTCTACCTCCTCCTAAAGAAAGCAACTTCAGGGGCTCCCTTAAAACTGTTGCTGTCTTAGGAGAGAGAAAACACAAGTGACTGAGAACCTTGAGAGAAGGAATGGTGGGGCTTTGTCGTCAGCTCACCTATACATTATTATCTTGCTCCCCTCGGAGAGCTTTTGAATAAGATCACCCCAGCTGGTCTGATATTATAGGTACTCAGCTGTTGCCCTTTGTACCCAAATTTAGGTTTGCTTTCTAGGTTACAAAGACCCTATAAAAGTTAGGTTCTAAAGTGATTGTGGTGACCTTTGTCTTTCCTAGGTTATAAATATATAATGATTTCTGAGCTTTTCATCATGAGAAAGTTTTGGGCTTAGAGATGTTTGGGGAGGAGAAGAGCATAGTGTGTGGATTCTGTTTGTGTCTTTGGAATGCTAGGGCACAATCCTGGCAAGCCCTTGAGCCATCTTCTTGTGTATTGCAGACGCCCATCTTGCTGACTCCGAGCCCCTTGCTCTCCAGTATCCACTTTTGGAGTACTCTCAGCCCGTTTGCTCCCCTGAGCCCCGCCAGACTGCAAGGTGCTAATACGCTTTTCCAGGTAAATTACCCAGTGTGCCTTCTGTGATCGGGGAACGTTAACTGCAGAAGTGGGCAGAGGTGTCCCACTGCTCAGTGTCATTGTCACACACCACTGCAGAGCACTGGTTGCCTTTCCTTGTGATGCAGTGTGTGACTGGGGGCTGTGACTCTCAGTTGCTACCCAGCATAGCAAGAAACTTTCCTAGTGCATATTGCTAGCCCAGGAAAATACTGGTGTTCAAGGCATAGTTCCTATTGAATGCATACGGCATGTTTTTGTGCTGTGTTAAGTTAAACCACTCTAAGTCAGACAGTCTGTGTACATACACTAATGTGTGTACACACACAGCCATGATGAGGATACATTTAATGCATTTCGATCAGAATTACATACCTACACACATAGACAACCCAGTCCCCTTGCCTACACCCCTTCTGCTTCCTTTGGGATCCTTCTTCCCCCCTCTTCACAACACTTCCTCCTCCCGTGTTCATGTCTCTCTCTTTTTTTGGGGGGGGTTAGGGTTACTTGTCTATGCATGAGTAGATATGGGCTTATTTACTGGATCTGGGGCTACACCCCTGAAGAAAATGAATCCTCCTCAGCCAGCAGCTCCTAACTACAGCTCCTCAGCTAGGATGGGCCTCAGGCGCTCCTCCACTAGCCTTGCTGGAATGTTGACTTGCTTGATTTTGCTTGATCTTGAGTAACCCCAGCTGCTGTGGGTTGAGGAGTACAACGCCGTGTCATATTAGGAAGACAGGATCACAGCACTGTTCCCCATCCTCTGGCTCCTAAATTCTCTCTGCCCCTCTTCCACAGTGTTCCCTGAGTCTTGGGGGGTGTGCGTGCATGTGTACTATAGACGCCCCATTCATGGCTGAGCTCGCCACAGACACTTGTTCGCTGCACTTTGACCAGTGTGAATCTCAATATTAACCATCATTTACTGCAAAAAGGAGCTGGAGAAGCGGCTCACCGGTTAAAAGTGTGCACTGCAGCCGGGCGGTGGTGGCGCACGCCTTTAATCCCAGCACTCGGGAGGCAGAGCCAGGCGGATCTCTGTGAGTTCGAGGCCAGCCTGGACTACCAAGTGAGTTCCAGGAAAGGCGCAAAGCTACACAGAGAAACCCTGTCTCGAAAAACCAAAAAAAAAAAAAAAAAAAAAGTGTGCACTGCCCTTGCAGAGGACCAGAGTTCAGTTCCCAGCACCCTTTTTGGACACCTGAACTCACATGTACAAACCCACATACAGAGACACATAATTTTTTTTTTTTTTTTGGTTTTTTCGAGACAGGGTTTCTCTGTGTAGCTTTGCGCCTTTCTTGTAACTCGCTTTGGAGACCAGGCTGGCCTGGAACTCACAGAGATCCGCCTGCCTCTGCCTCCCGAGTGCTGGGATTAAAGGTGTGCGCCACCACCGCCCGGCTAATTTTTTTTTTTTTTTTTTTTTTTTTAAAAAGCTCTGATGAGGCCGGGCGGTGGTGGCGCACGCCTTTAATCCCAGCACTTGGGAGGCAGAGCCAGGCGGATCTCTGTGAGTTCGAGGCCAGCCTGGGCTACCAAGTGAGTCCCAGGAAAGGCGCAAAGCTACACAGAGAAACCCTGTCTCGAAAAACCAAAAAAAAAAAAAAAAAAAAAAAAAAAGCTCTGATGAGAGTTGAGAGCTGCATTCATCTCTTGCGATAAAAGTTATATTTAGAAGGCTATTTGACAACATGTCCATTTAGTAAAACAATAACAGTAGGTCCCCTTAAGGCCTGTGAGCACCCCAGTTGTCGCCTTTGACCAGGGTTACAGTCCTGGGCATGGACTTGCACCCGTGGAGCTGGCTTTCAGTCTAATTAAAAAGTGGTTGGTTACTCCCGTAATATTGATGTTAGATCGTTGGTGGCTACAGGTTGCCTGGCAGGTCAGTATTCAGCGTGTGAGATCCACCGCCAGGTCATAGTACTGGTGGCTTTTCTCTTCCAGGGCCGTGTTCCAGCACTGTGAAAGCTAGCCATCGGGGAGGAAGTTTCTAGGTCCGTTCCAGCTTGATTTCTCTGACCTGCAACCAAAGTGTGAGGTGTCTTTAGCAATAGGTCTTAGCAGCTGCTGGGCAACCAAGAGCAGTAGAAGAGTCTACATTGTCTTGAGGGCCTCTGAGGACTCCATGATACTCATAAGGAAGTATCCCAGACTTGGCACTGGAATTTATTTAATAGCCCATGACTTGACTTCTGGGAACAACATTATTCACTCATGCAAGGTATCTTCATTCAAACTGCTTTTTTTTTTTTTAATCACATTCTTTAGTTAGCTTACAAAGTAGTAGATTTCCATTAAGAATTTTAAAATACTTAGTTTTGGTTAATCTCCCTCTCCCTTCTTTCTCCGCCTCCTTCCTTCCCAGTGCTTAAGCTTTTCCATTCTCAGTGGCCCTCCCCCAGTAGCACACGTGTTCTACTGTTGATGGGGACATGTTTTGAGAAGGGAATCATGCGGTGATTTTTGTTCCGTGCCACCATGTTATACTTATATAATCCTACTGTGCCGTGTGTGTATGTGAGGTACAAGATGAGAAAATTCTGTGCAACACATCCTGGCACTCAGGAGGCAGAGATCTGTCTGGATCTCTGTGAGTTCAAGGCCACACTGGACTACATGAGATTGACTCAATCTAGGAGAGAAACAGCCAGGCAGAGGTGGCACACACCTTTAACCCCAGTATTAGGGCAGCACACACGCCATCAATCCCAGCACTAGGAAGGTTAAGACAGGAAGTGAAATGGCTGGGCAGAGAAAGGCATATGAGGCCTGAGGAGACAGGAGCTAGGCCTTTCGGCTGAGGACTCAGAGGCATTCAGTCAGAGGATTTGAGGAGTTGGCGAGGTGAGAAGTGGCTGTGGCTTGTTTCCTCTGATCTTTAGCTTCACCCGATATCTGGCTCTGTGTTTATTATAAGACCACTTAGGATTCATGCAGCGTGGAGATGCACCTCACATCTGTAATCCCAGCACTTGGGAGACTGGGGAGGAGAATCACTGTGAGTTTGAGCTACACAGTTGCAGGCCAGCCTAAGTTACAGTGTGATCCTGTCTAAACACAGAGTGGCAACGGGAGATGTGTGTCTAAGGCTGCTGGTGGTAAGAGGACAGAAAATCATAATGGCACATGGCAAATACATGAACCAGTGACGTTCTCATTCCTGAGTGTAGGGCACTCTTCACAACTCCATGTGCTGCACTCGTACTTTCCTACGAGTACACCGCAGTAGATTGTTGACACCAACACCTGGGGAGTGTGTGGCACTAAGACTCTAGGATAGTTATAATGTTACAGGTTGATAGACAGTTTCAGCTTCATAATCTTACAGGACCCGGGACAGAGATGTGTACTGCCTGACTCTGGTGCAGGCGCGCTAGGGGGCAGATAGGTTTTCTCTCTTTAAAATTTAATTGTTTGTTTGTAGTTTCCCGCTTTTAATTACATTTTTTAAAAACTTTCTTTAAAAAAATTTTTAAATGATTATTTTTATTTTTATGTGTATTAGTGTTTTGCGTGCATGTATGTCTGTGTGAGTGTCGGATCCCCTGGAACTGGAGTTACAGTTGTGAGCTGCCATTTGAGTGATAGGAATTGAACCCGGGTCCTCTGGAAGAGCAGCCAGTATTTTTAACCACTGAGCCATCTCTCCAGCCTTTTTTTTTAAAGAGGAAAGTCTTGAGAATGTTATATCATTTACCTCTCAAAATTGATACATATCAGCATTTTTCTGCTGAGCCATCTCGTCAGCCTATATCAGCATTTTAAATACAGAGTTTAGGAAATGAATTTTGTATTATCTCCCCACCTAAGATATTAGGAAAGGTCTTATATTGAGGTTTCAATCACTCTTATCACTCCATTTTTTTTTTTCCTGGGGAGAACCACTCCTCACATACAAAAAAGTAAAAATAAAATACAGAAAAACTTAATGCCTTTCTCATTCAATAACATTGAATAATCTGATGTCACCTTTATCCTGCCCCAGGCATTTAGACTCTAAACTGCAGTTATTCTTCTATCTGGTTTATTTGCTTGTTCTGCGGTGACTGGCCCTGGGGAATTTTCTTACATTTTATAATTTAATCGTCTATTCTTTCAAAAATAAAATAAGGCTAAGTCTGCTGCCACCTGCCTGTAATCCCAGTTACTCCAAAGGCAGACAGTTAAGGGCCAGCCTGGGCAAATTTGTGAGCCTTTATCTTACAATTTATAAAGGAAAGATGTGGATATATAGCTCAGTGATAGAGTCCTTGCCTGGCACATGTCGGGTCTTGGATGCAATCCCTAGTACTGCAAAAAATAAAAATAAGAAAGGAGAGCTGAGCGTGATGGCACAGACCTGTGGTCCCAGCACTTGAGAGGGCTGTAGAGAGATGTTGAACCCCAGTCTACACTAGGCTACAGAGTGAGACACTGGATTCTAAAAAAGAAAAGAAAAGAAAACAAACATCTTAGGGACTGGGGTCTGAGTAGCTCAGTGGTAGTAAGGCTCTGGCTCTGGCCCCAGCACCAGCTTCCACCCCGAGGCCGTTCTGTCTCTGCCCGATTGGTTTGTTTGTTTGTTTTTGGTATTAGTGATAACTGGGGATTGAATTTGGGGCTTTGCATGCTTGTGGAATATACACCACTGCTGTCCTCTGCTTTTCACCCCAATTCCTAAATTATTGAATGTTATTACATGGGAAGAGCATCGAGACGTTTTTCTATGTTACATTTTTACTTTTCTGCATGTGGGGAGTGGTTCTCCCCAGAAGAAATGGAGTGGAGAGTGATCTGAGCCCTTAAGCTCTTCCCGATGCTGTCCCTAGGGTCAGCCTGGAGTTGACCGCTGTGCAGATGCTCTCAGAATGTCACAGCTGTTCTCTCGGATGAGGCTCTGGTAACCACTGTGCCTCTCTGCACATCCTAACGCCCATACACACATTTCCTAACCCTTTGACGTTGTGTAAGGGTGTATACCAGGATGTCATTAGAGTAAATGTTGTCATTCCTTTGAGGTAGATTAGAAAGAGTTAGTCTATACATTGTTAGGACAAACACATTTTTTTTAAAAAAAATTTTTATTAAAAACATGTTTTATACAATATAGTTGGTTCATATTCTTTCTCCTCCCCCATGTCTTCCCAGGTCCTTCTCACTTCCTTACCCACTCAACTTCACGTTCTCTCTCTGTGTCTAATAAACAGAGGGTCTGTTTATCTCTTAAAGCCAACAGAAAGCTGGGCGGTGGTGGTACATACCTTTAATCCCAGCACTTGGGAGGCAGAGGCAGGTGGATCTTTGTGTGTTCAAGGCCAGCCTGGTCTACAGAGTGAGTTCTAGGACAGCCAGGGCTATTACACAGAGAAATTCTGTCTTGAAAACAAACAAACAAAAAACCCAACAGGAAAACAAAAAGTCAAATAAACAAACTAAAAATAAATCAGTAAGACAAAAAAAAAAACACAGCAACAAAACCCAGGGAGTCTGTTTTGTGTTGGCCAACTACTCCTTGACATGGGGCCTGCCCTGGAGTCTGGTTGATACACCCAGGGACAGTTCATGGAGAAAACTGATTTTCCCTTTGCCAGTGGGGCTATTGATTGCAAGTAGCTTCTTGGAGGACAAAGAAATTTTTGATTGTATGTTTTTGCTGTAACCATCTTTTGGGCCTGCGAGATATCTCAGTGGGTGAAGAACTCACTGTGCAAGCCTGCCAGCCTGTCTGGTCCCTGGAGCCTACAGACGTGGAAGGAGAGAAGGGCCCTCACAGAGTTCTCTGACCTCACACGTAGCTGTGGTGCCTGTGTGTGCACCACCCCACCCTACCCCACACGTGATCAATTTAAACAAAACATGGAACTCCATCGTGGTCGTCTGTGATACACTGTCATTGCCTTTGTCCTGAGGATGTGTCTTGTGTTCTGCCCCGGGGAATAGGAGGGACGGAGAGTGGAGAAGAGGTGTAATAGGATGCTGATCTGCTTTTGTCTCCTCAGTTTCCTTCCGTGCTCAACAGTCATGGACCATTCACTCTGTCTAGCCTGGACGGACCTTCCACTCCTGGCCCATTTTCTCCAGACCTACAGAAGACATAACCCATGCAGTTGTGGACTAAGAGACCAAGGAACTAAGAAACAGAGATGTCCAACATGATTTGGTTTGAAATGAGGGCAAATTCTGCAGTGCTCATACAGACTGTTGTAATTTTCCCATTGCCTGTTGAAAGCCTTTTCAGGATTCTCCGAAGTTGGAAAGTATAAAAATGCCTTAATTGGAGTCCAAACTCCACCTCACTTCTTTTTTAAAAGGTTGTTGTTATTGCTGTTTTTTGTTTATTTTCTTAAGCTTTGTGCAAAAAAACATTGGTCTGTTGGGGTTTAGCAGCTTTGTTTTGCAAGAAAGTTCGAGAACAAAGTTACGGGTCCTAGATGTTAGGACTCTTTGGCCAGGGGGAAAAAGCTTAGAATCTGTTATTTAAAGAAAATATTTGTTAGCTGTGTATGATGGCCCACCTCTGTGATCCCAACACTTGGGAAGCTGAGGCAGGAGAACACCAAGAGTTGAGGGCCAGCCTAGGCCATATATATATATATAGTGAGACTGTCTCAAAAGGATAAAAATACTGCTTAAACAAAATTGGTAGTATATTTAGTAGTAAGTATTCTCTGTTGAATGACTAAAAGGGAGCCGCTCATGAACAGTGGGAGAAAGAATCATTCCTAGTCTTAGGAGTATAGAGTGTTTGGGGAGCCTCTGTTTTGCTGTGGGCTCTGACGTGATAGCTCCATAGAAAAGCATCTGGTTTGCACTCATCCTGGGTGGGATCTCTGTACTATACCTGTGATCTCGTCTGAACCTGTCAACAGGCCCCGAGTTTTTTAACACTCAGGCTCTGAAAGCTCAGTTTTAAGGTGGGTTTTGGAGCATTCCATGAAAATACAGGACCCCCACTTCAGGCACAGACCTCTTGTCTGCTCTCTGAGTGGTGTGGTTCTGTATTATCTGTGCAGCACATCTCAGAAAATGATGATTTTTAGGAGAATAGAGTAGGATTTGAAAACTGAATATTGGAAGCAAGCAGAAAGGTTCAGTTGAATACCCTGAGACACAAGGTGGGGCATTTCCCAGCCAGAAGACACCCAGAGTGACAGCCCCCTTTTCTTCTTGCTTATTTTATCCACTTCTGCTGTGCACTCACCATGCATCCTTTTACATCTGAGGTCAGAGGAGGAAGCAGTGTTAGGGTGTTATCAGGAAAGTGGACTGGAAAGTGAAACTTTCCCGTCAGTCAGGAGATGCAGGTGTGCTCATTTCTTTCCAAAAATGTTTTAAATTATGGAAGATCAGATTGCATTTGGCCATTCTCATACATAGGAATATGATTGTTAAATTAGTAATGAGAACCTACTTCTCATTACTACGGCCACCTTCTCATATTGTCACATTTATGAAATACTGTGTGGTGAGTCAGAGCCAGATGTACACAGGAACATTGATCTCTCAGATTGAATTGAGAGCAGTCTCACAGTGGAATCTTGAACATTTTGACTCTAAAGTCCAGAACTAAATTAAATTACATGCCCCACCCTCCACCCATTAAACCCTAGACATGACCTGAGTGGAATGATGTGGGGCTGGGAAGCTCAGAATGACATGGATACAGAGTGGCATCTTTCAGGTGCACAGCATTGGCTGTCCAGTGCAGAGATGCTTAAGTATAGAAGTGTGTGCTGGCTGGGTAGTGAACGGCGACAGTGAGCTCCCGTTTCGTGGGGCAGTTGGAGACCTGTTACTGGTTCCTTTGTGCTTGTCTACATGTTCTGTTCTCATGATGTGCAATAGTAGGGTTGAAAGGTCGTGTTCAGAGGGAAGGGAACAGGCACTATAACGGACTTTCTTCCCATGGTAGATTGTTTAGTTTGCATGCATATTTGGAATTACCCTCAGCAGCACTTTGTAGTAATTTAGTGGGTTAATATAGTGTGTACTAAGTAAATATTGAGAGTTGACCTACCTAGGTGTTTGAAATTCTAGAAAACATAAAAAAGTTTTATCTTCCTGAGTTAAAGGAGAAAAGCCATTGGTTTATTTTCACAGATGATATATTTGATAACTTACTGTTTTTAGCACAGAAGTGCCATGGATCCAAGGGCACCATTGAAACTCAGGCTAGGTGTGGTAGCACAGGTCTGTGATCCCAGCACATGGGAAGTGGAAGCTGGAGGATCAAGAATCAGGGATAGCCTCAGCTACATAGTGAGTTTGAGACTAGCTTGGATTACATGAGACCCTGTCTCAAAAAAAAAAACAAAAACAAAACAAAAAAAAAACAGAAGCAAAAAACCCAGAGCAACTTTGTAAGAAACCGTGAGGCCTTGGGCAATAGAGGGACCTGCTTTCTTCTTGAAATGAGTGAGTTCCAGGAAGCATGTGCTTGCTCGTGTGTGTGTGTGTGTGTGTGTGTGTGTGTGTGTGTTTATAACCTTGCTGTATGTGTGCGGCAGACATTTCCTGTAGACTACCTCCTTCCTGAAAAAGTCTGAGCTTTGTATGGTTTGAATAGCCATAGAATTCTTAGTGTCAACAGATCAGTATTCAGGAGAGATTCTGTACCTTCAGCTCACATCTGGCGTCCACCCCCAGTCATCTTGCCAGGGCAAATGGTGCTGGGCATCAGTAGACTGAGGCAGGGGAGATGAGCAGGTTGTCAGGGTTTGAGATGTCTTCTGAGGCCTCTTGGCTTTTATTCTGCTCTGGACCATCTCTGCTCAGCTCAGTGACTGAAGGTGTAAAGGTTTCAGGGTCCTGGGAAGGCCTGGGTTTGGAGAGTCTGCTGATTTCCTTGGTTTTCTGTGGCTCAGTGTAGTGCCACAGACCCCTGTGTATACTTCCCTAGGTGCGTTTTCACTTGATCTGTACTTTTCTCTTACTTGTGCTGATTTTTTTAAATACAAAATTAAAATGTCAGGTCTAACTTAAGTAATCTTTTAATGATTTCTCATAATATTATTGTGATGTTACAGTCCTTGTAGTCAGTATGTTTGAATAAGAGTAGACATTTCCACTGATTAAAAAAGTATATAATATATAATTGAATCTAAAAGCCCTCATAAGGCCATCATTAAGCTTCCTTGAGTTAAAATGTAAGTTTATTTTCCCTTACGTTTTAACAGTTAAAATGTAAGTGTAATTTTTTTTTTCACTGTGGTTTTTGTTTTTGAGATAGGATCTTTCTATGTCACCCAGGCTGGCTGTGAACTGAATCCCAAATGCAGGCATTTACAAGTGTACACCACCAGGTCTGACTGTTTTTTCAAGTTTTGGTGGAAAAAGCAAGGCCATGAACTTGGATAGAGTACTGGACTTTTCTTCTTAAACTGGAAAATTCCTTTCAGATTTGTATTCTGTACTAGAGATCAAAAAAGCCAGGAGTGGCTGGCAGGTATACCAGAGGCTTGGCCTTCATGGCGTAATGCCAGCTGTTGATGTTAACACAGTCTTTTGTTCACCTTGGCCTTGTGCTATGTGAGGTCTAGGACTGTTTTACCGTGGCCTGTGATTTTAACATTCTGAAAGGCAGCTTTATATGGTAATGTCTTAAGCACCATTGAGACCCTCAGTAGAATTGTAGAAGAGCAGGTTGGCAGTCTTCTGGAACACACCTTGATTAGGAAAAGGTTTTCTTTTTTGATTTTTGAGACTGGGTCTTAGTCTTTAGTCTAGGCTGGCCTCAAACTCTTGGCAATCCTCCTGCCTTGGTATCCCAAGTACTGAGATTATGACTGTAAGCTATTGTTCGGCACAGTAGACGTTTTTCAACATAGAAATTTCTCCCAAAGATTCACTCTATTAAAATGACATTCACACTGTAACATACACAGTGAGGGTTTAGCATAAGAAATAAATTCTGTATAGCATCCAGACCTGCTGAGTCCTTCCCGCACCCCAGCAGATGACTCTAGAATCAAACACTGTCCTAAATCACTGACTCAACATGAAGTTGCTGTTTGATTCTCAAATACAGATTGTTTTTTTTAACGTGGAAAATTCTAACTTGAAATTTTCTGGAGCTTTGTCATAGCTTTTTCCAATTTCCCATTAATTCTTTCTCATGGGATTCATTCCCAAATGCCTTCTGGATTCCCTGCACGTCCTGACAGCTGTTCCTTTTCATCTCTGTGTTACGCACGACTGACAGTTTTATTTTTATGGTCTTCTTACAGACTTCTTTGACTTTATGTTATATTTTACCAACAGCTTCACAACTACATCAGGTTACTTGACGCTAAAGTATATGCCAGCTTCAGCCTTCTTGCTGGATTGTAAAATGCTGTTTTTGTTGTGGTTTTTCTTTCTTTTTTTTTTTTTTTTTTTTTTTTTCAATTTGGGACACTTAAGCAGCTGAAGGAACAGTTTACTCAGTGGCTTGTCCTGTTTATCACTTATTTACTACATATGTGTCATTCGCCTGTGCCAAAAACTGGGAGTCATGCCACGGTGCCATGCTTTGGCTTGGAAAGGCGTGGAGACAAGTGCGGGCCTGAGCAGAAACCTGGGGCTGGGAATGAATTTCCAAACCCACAAGACTGAGAGTGTTGATGCTGTGGTCTGGGGTGAGGGTGGGAATGGAGGGGATGGGGGAGCGGGGTGGGGGGTCTCAAGTGGATTTGAACGGCTAACTGTTCTTTGACACAGGGCGCTGGGAAGGGACAGACACATGATCTATCTCCGGCAGACACGCCCAGATGCTGGCTTCTGTGGAAAGCGCTTTGTTAGTTTTCATCTAGGTCTGCTGTTCCCAGTGCTGGCGCTGCCCCATCCTTCTCTTACAGTATCAGAACTACTTACTGAAGGCACAGTCTCCATCTCTGAGCAGGGTGCTTACGGGTGATGGTGCGTCTTGTGTTCCGTGGAACTTGTTGCTATCAGAATCATGTCTTCACCTGTGAACAGCAGATGGGAGAGGTCAGTTGTCATCGTGGTACGAGGGTCCAGCGAGTGCTCCATCTGAAGCTGACAGTCCTTCAAGCTGCTTTGCTGTTGCTGAAACAGAATGTGACACGTGGCTAGCTTGCCAGAAAGAAGCCATTTCTTAGGTACTGCTGTCTGTAGTTAGCCCTTGTGAAAGGCAGAGTGGCTTGTAGGAGAGTAACAGTCTGCTCACATGATTTGACGTGATTCTGTGGTGCTGGGGACAGAACCAGGACCCTCGTGCATGCTAAATAAGTGAGCACTGCTGGACTACATTGTTAGCAACACCTCCTCCATAACTAAATGACAGCTTTCACCAGGAAATTCCTGGGGATCACAGACAGTCTCTTGAATATTAAGTGTAATGCACATGGGGAAGTTTTATGAAGTTAACTTGTCTTTGAAGTACTTACCTGGGAATCGAGCACATTTCTAAGTCCTCCGGAGGTACTGGCTGAGTACATCTCTCTATATATACTGCCATGTTGACCCAGGGCATGTGACTCTTTTTCCGTGAGTGGCACATGTATCCCCTAGGATGACTATTTGTTCTAAACCTAATAAAGGAAACCCCCTCACTGCTGCACCTACAGGTGTCACCTTTTAAGGACAGTGCCTTGTTTGGTTCAGTTTTTGTTTTGTTTTTTCGAGACAGGTTTTCTCTGTGTAGTTTTGGTGCCTGTCCTGGATCTCGCTCTGTAGCCCAGGCTGGCCTCGAACTCACAGAGATCCGCCTGCCTCTGCCTCCCTAGTGCTGGGATTAAAGGCGTGCGCCACCGCCGCCCGGCCTCGGTTCATTTTTAAATGCATGGAATCATAGGCCTTACAGACCATTGCCAGTGTGTTAGGGGCCCGATGCTTAGACCACTCCCAACAGTCTTACCCTGCAGATGTCTGTCCATGCAGCAAGTGGAAGGACATCTTTCCCAAAGCTCTTTGAATTTCTGTTTGCTTTCATGTAAGATGGCTCCTAGGTTGCCTGGGAGGTTTCTCAGGAGGTGTCTAGGGTGTAAGTGGAGGGAGGCCTCCTGGCTTGTCGGCATCATGTCCCCTTTAAGCCCTATGTTAGTAGCATTAGCAGAAACCTCAGAGGGGTCAGGCTGAATGGTCTCAGCTTTGCCTTGCTCCCATCGTAGTAAGGCCCACTGATTCTCATCCCTCTGGGGATTGTGAGCTGTGCTCATATAGCCTGGAATCTTGTTGATAAGGTGAGAGGGAGATGGGGTGCCTGGCAGCTGGCCCACAGTCCTGCCAATAGAATCATTCACCCGGCCAGCTCTCAGGGGCGGGGGAATTCTGTGCACTGCTATTAAATCACTTGGCACTTTCTTGGGATCTGTATTAGCACTGTTTGCTTGTTTGTTGTTTTTTGTTGGTTGTTTTTTTTGAGACAGTGTCTCACTGTGTAGCTCTGAGAAACTTGCTGTGTGGACCAGGCTGGCCTTGAACTCACATAGATCCTCCTGCCTCTGCCCCTAAGTGCTGGGATTAAAGGCATGCACCACCATGCCCAGCTGTTTTTGTTTTTAATAACTGGAAGCAGTTAATGATTATTTTGCTTGACTTCAGTTCAGGATATTGAGGGTCAGGGAAATGTGGGAACTTAGGCACATCTGGAGAAGGAAGGAATGGATTACCTGATGAGCCTTCCTTCCAGGCTCGGTAAGGCAGCCTCTTTCAGCTAGAATGTAAATGACTCACAAGCTTGTAATATTGTGCTTTTTCGACATGTATGATTTTAAAGATGACTTGCATTGGTAGATTGCACTGTACATTTGAAAAGTATACAATTGCAAGGGGTTTTAGGTGTTGCTCTCCTTCCTTGTTTATTTCTGTTACGTCGGGGACACAGTCCCTTCTGAGACATTTCATTGTTTGCTTGAGGACAGCCTTACCAGCGGCCTCTGTTGGACAGCATCTGAGGCTGCCGTTGCTGGCACGTGTGTTAGAACAGCATGTTTCAGTCTTCCCTGGTGAGCGAGCGTCACTGGGATCCGCTACAATGCTACTTAGGCAGAAAACTCACAGAGGAGCTTTGAGTTCCTGGAGGCCTGCTTACAGGTGTGGCCCTGAGGCTCTTCCCTTTGCTTCTAGCAGTTTTCTTTAAATATAAAACTCTGTCTGGGACTGGTAGTACATGCCTAATCCTGTTGTTGTAATCCTGTTGCTTGGGAGGTGCAGGAAGGATTATAGAGTTCAGGGTCATCCTTGGCTACATAGTGATTTTGAGGCCAGCCTGAGCTACGTGAGAGTCTGCCTAAAAATACATTGTTTAAAAAGGGGTGGGAGTTGAGTGGTTCAGAGCACCCATGGCAGGTGGCTCAAAACTGCTTGTAGCTCCAGCACTAGAGGATCTGACACCCTCTTCTGGCCTCTGTGGGCATCTGTACACATATTGAACAAAAACATACCACTTTTTTTTTTTTTTTAAAGAAGTCTTAGTTCATTTTGATACTAATTAGTTTGGTTCTAAACATAAAATTTTGGGTTAAAGTGAGTTTCTGAGAATTATGTCCTTTATTCACCAAATAATTAAATTGACTTTTTTTTTTTTTATTTTATTATGTCTAGGATGTTCTGCCTGCATGTTGCCTGCAGGCCTGAAGAGGGCACCAGATCTCATAGATGGTTGTGAGCCACCATGTGGTTGCTGGGAGTTGAACTCAGGACCTCTGGAAGAGCAGCCAGTGCTCTTAACCTCTGAGCCATCTCTCCAGCCCTGACTTTTTTTTTTTTTAAAGTAAGTTAGGTTTTGTTTTTATGAGCTGGATCTTGTTTTGCTTAGACTGATGTTAGCAACAGTCTCTTCAAGTATCACCTCCTGAGTAGCTGGGGCTACAGGTGCATGCTACCACATCTGGCTTAAATCTGCATTTAAGAACAACCTTATAATTTCCCATGAGTCCTGCTAGAACTTTTAAAAAGACCCTAGCTGGAGCTTCAGCTCCATTGGTAGAGTGACCTCCAAGCATGCTAGCCCACGGTTTGATCCCCATCACGTCACAAACTGGGAGTGGAGGTGCAAGCCTGTCATCCCAGCACTAGGAATGTAGAGGGTCAAGTGGCAAGTTCAGGACCAACCTAAGGTGCAAGACCCTTGTGATTAATGGGAACTAGCCATGGGTTATTTTACATTGTGTGTGCTAGGTGGTTGAGTCACAGTGAACCTGGCAGTTGGTGCCACTGTAAGGTGTGAGCATGATTTAAAAGGTAAACGACATTAAGTAACAAACTCTTACTTTTCATTCAGTTCATCTACAGTTTAGTGAAAAGCGTGTGTTCTGCTATGGAGTGAGTGCAGTGTATATACACCGGTGTGTACACAGGATGGGGTCGGGGGAGTTCCTGTGTTCTGCCATGGAGTGAGTGCAGTGTATATACACCAGTGTGTACACAGGATGGGGTCGGGGGAGTTCCTATGTTCTGCCATGGAGTGAGTGCAGTGTATATACACCGGTGTGTACACAGGATGGCGGGGGGAGTTCCTGTGTTCTGCCATGGAGTGAGTGCAGTGTATATACACCGGTGTGTACACAGGATGGGGTGGGGGGAGTTCCTGTGTTCTGCCATGGAGTGAGTGTAGTGTATATACACCAGTGTGTACACAGCACAGGATGGGGCGGGGGAGTTCCTGTGTGTGTGAGTTGGGATGGATGATGAAAAGGACTTGACAGGGTACTCCGCTCCTCAGGAACTATTGCCTGTGTGTCCACCCCTCCTTGCTTATTTTACTGAAATCTATATCTCATATTACTCAGTGTCACCCCTTTGTATAAGTAGATCTGTAGATGGGTGTAAGCAACACCTGCCCAGAAGAAGAGCTGTCAGCTGGCGATACTAATTACATGTCTTAGTTTAGTTTAGTTTATGTTAAGGAGACCTGCAAAGTATTACAATCACCTTTTGTTCTTTTCTGAAAAAGCAATTGAAACGGTAACTGCTAACAGTCCTTAAAATTAACATTAGTTGTTCTTACAGCTGGACAGAACGTGTCATCTCATCTGTCTACACAGGAGCACTTAACTGTAGAGACGATGGGGTGTTGTTTTAAGGCTGGTGAAGCCGGTGTGGAGTCAGGAGTTTAGGGAGATGGGGCAAAGGACGAATGTGCACTGTGAGGGCTTTCTCATGCACCGCTGTTCCGAGGAAAGGCGGTGGGCCACCGGGTGCATCCCCAGGCACTGCAGGGACCGCCCTGGGTAGCCAGTCGGGCAGGGGTCCTCCTTCTGTTGCTTCTAAGCTTTCTGCAAAAGCTTTGTTAACTTCCATAGAGATCATGTGTATTTTAAGAAAATGATACATTTTAAAAAAACTTTTATGTAAGAACTGACAGAGGGATTTGCTTGTATGTGGGAAGCTGGCTTTAAGAAAGCACTCTGGCATGTTTACTACAAGTCCAGAGCTATGGAGATCTGTTTATAGATATATGTGCAACTAGATATGGACAATTGTATTTTTTTAAAATAAATATTTTTAACAAATGACTTGACTTGATTATTCCCCCCGCCCCCATCATAGTCACTGGTATTTTCACCCACACTAACTGGGTAAGGAATGAATTCAGTGGGTGTTGTTGAAACCTGGTCTTCAGCTGCTTGATGTGTCTCCATGGAAACATATAAAGCCCAGGTCAGAAGAGGTAGTGAAGAGGGGTGATTGTAAAATGATTGCTGGCGTAGAAGAAACTGAGAGAACAGATGGGCTGGAAACACTTTGTCATGTGAAATTTTTTTGTTTTTGTTTTGTTTTTTAAGACAAGGTTTCTCTGTGTAACACCCCTAGCTGTCCTGAAACTCACTTTGTAGCCCAGGCTGGCCTTGATCTACAGAGATCCGCCTGCCTCTGCCTCCCTGAGTGCTGGGATTAAAGGCGTGTGCCACCATGCCCAGCTTGTCATGTGAAATCTTTAAAAATTGTATTACAATGATTTACTTTGTGTCTGGGTATGTGTGTACAGGGGTACAAGTGTGCCACAGTCGGAGGACAGCTTTGGGGATCAGTTTTTGTCTTCTGTTGTGTGTGTCCTGGGGATCAGACTCAGGTCAAAGGTTTGGTGGCATCTCCTTTATTCTCTGAGCCATCTTTCGGACCCTGAAGAGTGTGTGTGTGTGTGTGTGTGTGTGTGTGTGTGTGTGTGTGTGTGTGTGTGTGTGTTTTACAACTTCAATGTTTTTGGAATGTAGAACTCTAATGAGATGCATTTATTTCGGCCTTTGGAACGAGCAGTCCTTGCTTATTTACACTCTCACACCCTTTTTTGTTTTGAGACAGGGTCTCATGTAGCTTTGGCTGGTCTGGAACTTCCTATGTAGACCTTGCTAACCCTGAACTGTGGTCCTCCTGCCTCAGCCATCTGAGGTTACAGATATGCACTCCAATGCTTGGCCTCCCTAGCCCCTTCCCTTGTATGGCCTGTGAGGAGGAAATTGGAGACCAGTTCATTCAGCAGTGAAATTAAGCCAAAATAGAATTGGCTTGAAACACCGTGGGGAAAGCGGGCTTAATAAATAGGTGACAAGATCATGTCAGAGAGGGCAGGTTCACATCTGATGAAGGTAACAACCTATCAGACGGCTGGTGGGTAGGCACAGGCCCTCGGGAGATGTCTCCTCAGGCAGTGCTTGACCACACAGTTGACGCACTGAAAGGCTCTCCTCCCTACCTTTCTCGAATGTGCTATCCAGAGTGGTCTATGGTCCCCCAAGCTCACCGTCTTACTTTTAGAGCGCCCAGAGTTCCAAGTGCTCCAGTGGAAAAGCCCGAGGAAGCCACCATTTCTGATCTGGGCCTCCCAACTGTTGACACCACTTTGGAGACGCCTGCTCACTGCAAGTACCACCTGTGTTTTCAGGGGTATCTAATAACAAATATCCTCACACTGGGGCTCTTTGGGATTGGCTCTATTAGGTGAGAGACTGTCTTAGGGTTTCTATTGCTGTGAAGAGGCACCGTGACCACGGCAATTCTTACAAAGGAAAACATTTCATTGGGGTGGCTTACGGTTTCAGAGGTTCAGTCCATTATGGTGGGATGTGGTGATACTCAGGCAGACATGATGCTGGAGAAGGAGCTGAGTGTCCTGCATTTGGACTTACAGGAAACAGGAAGTGGTCTGTCTGACTGGGCATGGCTTTAGCATATATGAACCCTCAAAGCCCACCTCCACAGTGACACACTTCCTCCAACAAGACCACACCTACTCCAACAAGGCCACACCTCCTAATAGTGCCACCTTCTTTGGGGACCATTTTCTTTCAAACCACCATGGAGACAATACTTGAGAGTCACAGGATCACACACTGACCATGACTACCCAGTGATACACAGACCAGGGTATACCTGCCACGAAAGGGATCATGAAGTGACTTCATTGGGAGTCTCTCAGAAGTACTGTGGTGTGTCATAGAGAAAGACTAGCACAGGAGTGGAAATTTGAACAGCAGTGGCTCCGGGCAGATGCTGGGGATGCTACTGGGTTTAAGTGTGTTGATCCCATGTGTTTTGAACACACTGCTGTCGTTAACCCAAGTGCCTCTCTCATCTGGCCCAGTGGTGCTTCTGTCCTGTGAATGACCTCTCCTTGAGATGCTTTTCGAATACCTCCCAGGAAACCACTCTGACCCTGAATTTGTCCCTACCTCTGGCCTCTCATTTTCACCCTACTGCATCAGTTCCTTTCCCAAACCTCTAGTTTTGGAGGAACTTCCGGGGTTCAAACTCTCCCAGTCCCTACAACTATTACCTAGACGATATCATTTGGTCCCTTGGCTTTAAACACTGTAAGTTACATAACTTTTATGTAAGTTATAAACATCATAAACTGATGTGCAAAAAACTTTTTAAAAAGACATGGCCTCACTGTGTATCTCTGGCTGGCCTGAGCTATGTAAACCAAGCTGGCTTCAAACACACAGGAGATCTGCCTACCTCTGACTCCTGAGTGTTGGCATTAAAGGCGTGTACCACCACACAGATCAGCCAATCTTATTTTTGGCAGGCATTCTTTAAATACGTATATTTTCATCTTTTTATGTGTATGAGTGTTTTGCCTGCAAATGTATGAGTGTAGCACGTAGGTGCCTGGTGCCTGAGAGACTAGTAGAAAGTGTCACATCCCCTGGAACTGGAGTTAGAGCTGGCTATGAGTTGTGCTGGGAACTGAACCTGAGTCCTCTGGAACAGCAAGTGCTCTTAACTGCTGAGGCGGCGTCTCTCTGGCCCCAACACAGCTCTTGAGTATTCCTGGATTTCCAGGGTTGAGACTGTTGCCAGCCGTCCCTGTCTGGACTGCGTGTTTCTAGGTTCATGGCATCCTTCAGAGAATTCAAGAAACGGTAGTAAAGCAGTGAGAGCTTGTTGAGGAGCAAAGCGAGAGCAGAGTAGACAGACCGAGCCAGGGAGATGGCTCATGCGTCAAGGGGCTTCCTGCACAAGCCTGACAGCTTGAGTTCAGATCCCCGGAATGCAAGGCAAAGCCAAATGTATAATCCTAGCTCCCTCTACCCCAGTGGGCCTCAACCTTCCTATTGCTGCGACCCTTTAATACATTTCCAGATTCTTGCATGTGGGCGTGGCTGCATGAGGGTAGACCTGCCAGGAGAGAGATGCCGTGTCTCAGTTCCTAAGGCCATCGGAAATATGTATTTTCCAATGATCATAGGCCACCCCAAAAAGGGTGTGATCCCCCCCAGGTTGAGAACCACTGCTGTACCCGGAGATGGAAGGCTAAGGCCAGAGAATCCACTAGAAGCTTTGGGCCAGAAAGCTTGGCTTATGCAGCAGCAGCAGCAAAGAGCCCTCCCTTCTCAGACAAGATGGAAAGGCAGGGACCAGCACCTGGGGGTTGTGTTCTGACCTCTACAGGCATGGTATGGAGGTGTGCACTGCACATGTCCTTTCTCATGATGCGTCTGATTTTGATCTCTTACATTCATTCAATCATGCACAGGCATGATGGTAAATAGGGATTTTTCCGAAAAGTTCATTTTGGGCATAGTTTGCCTTGTTGTACATGCACTAAACCAGTCCAGGCCAGATGGACCCACTGCCTCACACTGATTTCTGCATACTGACACTGTTCTCTGTATACTGCATGGCTTGAATTATTTAGAAGTCCTCGATTTCTATGGGGAAAAAAGACCTTGACACACTAAAAAATTTTCCTCTATGAAAGGTACAAAACTTCAATGAGCTATTTTTTTTTTAAATTCTCAGTGCTGCTTCTGTACCTTGTAGATTTCAGTAAAGAAAAATAGGATGCCCATTTCATTCTCCTTGTGCCTCACATTCCCAGATACATTGCAGGGTGTCCTTGGCCATAAAAGGGGAGTTGCTAAGGGTTGCTAGGAAGCTCCAGGTCAGCGTTACCAGTTACTTTAGGGAGTGGCGTGCAGCTCCATGTTGGCAGAGTCCCCCTGGTTAAGTGTGGTGTGTATAGTCAAGCTAAGAGGAGTCTTCCCTATGCATGCCTGCCTCAAAATGGCCTCATACCTCGGCACAGGTCAGACGCCTTGGACTTATCTGGGACTGCCAACTTTCTCTCAGACACACTCAATCCATCAGCAAATCCCGCCAGTTTGACCTTCACATTGAATCCGCTCTCATCACTCCCACTGCTACCGACGTGGCCCAGGTCACTCACTTCTCTAGCCCTACAGCTGTGCCTGAGCTGATCTTGTCAACTCAGCCACACAGTCTTCAAACAGCCAGAGTGACCATTTTAAATGAGGAAACCATGCTATGTCACACTCTGTCAGTAACCTCATGTCCCCCAGAAAAACCTGTGTTCCTACCCTGATGTGTGTGATCTGGGCCCCAGCTAGCATATCACCCACCCTGTTTCCTGCCTGCCCGTCTTCTTTGCAGTTGGTCCACACCAGCCTGCCAGCTGCTTCTCAGGTTCTCTGAAGCACATTCCAGTTCACAAACCTTTCCCTCGCTGTAGCCTCTGCCTGGCAGGATATTCCCAGGTACCCAGCTAGCTTGCCCCTGTAGCACAAATGCTGTCCTCGTGGTAAGACAGCCGGAGCATCTCTCGGCATTCCCATGCCTACCCCTTCCCTGCTTTTTCCTTACAGTACTCCACCATCCTACAACATGTTATATATTTATTTGCTGTTTCTGTGGTTTTGACCTTGCAGTCCTTGAGAGGCAGGGACTTCTCATTCACTGCTGACACTGCACCTAGGTGTCTGCTTTGAACGTGGTGAGCGCTTAGTCTTTTTTTTTTTTTTTTTTTTTTTTTTAATGAGTAAACCTCTGTGAACCGGGGCTGGAGCTCCGTTGGTAGATGCCTGCCTCCCCTGTGTGCTCAGAGTTTGCTTCCCAGACCCACATAACCTGGCTGTGGGGAGGCACGCCTGTAATCCTAGCACTTGGGATGTAGAAATAAGAAAATCAGGAGTTCAAGATAATTTGAACTACATAGTAATATCTAGTCTATCTTGGTCTACAGAAGACCCGCTTTAAGTTCCAGCGGGGACGATCTCCCTATGAGAACACGCCTCTCGCAAAGGATCCCCTTCATCCCTCTCCTGAAGACGAAAGAGGAAACACAAGAAAAAGCACCTGGTGCAGAGCCCCAATTCCTAGTTTACAGATGGGAAATGCCCAGGGTGCTGTAAAATCACCACGGTCTTTAGCCATGCACAAAAGGCAGTCTTGTGTGTCGGCTGCTCCACTGTCCTCTGTCAGTGCTTGAAAAGCAAGCCTGATGGAAGGATGCTCTTCAGGAGGAAGCAGCACTGAAAACACGTGACTCAAGATAAGTGGGAACCATCCCAAGAAACACATTTTGAATATATATATGTATATATATACGTGTGTGTGTGTGTGTATATATGTGTATGTATGTGTGTGTATTATCCATATATATATGGAAAGAAAAATATATGTGAAAGAAAAAAGATGCATATAATATATGAAAGAAATTAAAAAAAAACCCTTTATGTTACTGTGCCTGCCTTTAGGTGTGCTGGGGGTTAGATTCCCATGTCTGCAGAAGGAATCTGGGAACAGGGAGACTTCACAACAGTCTGAAATGACCAAAGGTTTGAGAGCTAGAAGTGTGGCTCTGTGGTAAGTGCTTGCCTAGAGTACATGGAACTCCCTAGCACTGCCCCAAACCCCCAAATGTGTGTATCACAGATGTGAGATGTGTGTGTGCACCATGTAGACCCTATAAGAGAGACCTGTCTCTGGGAAGCATTAGACCGTTTGAGCTTATGTATAAAGGGTCAACTGCCCTTCATGATGGATGACACACTTACTAAGCTTAAAATATTTTATTTTAGGAAATTATTTGATTTGTTTTAATTTATTTTCTCTATTAACACATCAATCGTCACCCATGTAGATATAACCAGTGATTCTTCTTTTTAAATCTGTATAAAAAGGATGTTTTCTTGAAAAACTACAAGAAAAATACAGCCGCTTTTCTCTTCACCCAGGTCACTTACTACAGTTAGATTGCACATTTCAGTTTGCCTAGCATTGGGTGCTTTTGAAAGTATTCATAAATATAGTTAAAAGGATTTGCTTAGGCCATCAGCGTTTCAAAGTGGAGTTTGTTTGCATTACAGTTTGTACCAAACGTGAGTGGCGTCTAAGCTGCTTATGAGGCTTGTAATAAAGGTTAAAAACTTGAGCATTCGGAAGGCAGTTCCCATGTTGGGCATGTAGCAAATACTCTATATACACTTAATTCTCTCAGAATTCCTGTGAGGTAGGGTGCTTTTAGAAATGCCACCATAGTGGTAAAAACAAGCGAGGCTAGAAATGCCTGGGCGTGGGGCAGGGGGGTGGGACTGGTGGGTGGGTGGGTGGGAGGGGGGTGGGGTGGGGCCAGGTTGGGGTCCAGGGTCACAGCTAGAAGGTGAGGCTGGTACTGCTCTGTTGGTGTGTGGTGTGTGAACGACAGCCCTTGGGACTACAGTCCACTCAGCTTTCACAAGAACACATGTATATGCACAGAGAATGCACAGATAAACCCTGGACTGTAATGGGACATTTCATTCCTTCCAGAAGTCACTGTAACAGCCATGGCAGTGATTCCAGAGATCTTGCGCTCAGCCTTGTCCAGGCTGGAGAGCCTGTATTCTCGAATTCTCTGTATTACTAACCCTCTGTGTTCTGCATAGAACTGGGAACTCCTGACAGACATCGATTTCTGCATACTGACACTGCTCTCTGTATACTGCATGGCTTGAATTATTCAGGAGTCCTCGATTTCTATGGGGAAAAAAGACCTTGACACAGTATAAAATTTTCCTCTGTAAAAGGCACAAAACTTCAATGAGCTTTTTTTTTTTTTTTTTAAATTCTCAGTGCTGCCTCTGCACCTTGTGGATGTCAGTAAAGAAAAATAGGAGGTCCATCTCATTCTCCTTGTGCTTTCTGAACCAATTAACATTGCTCATTAGCAGTGAGAGGCCGGTAAAACCATCTGTTCTGGGGGACGGGGAGAGCGCAGCCATGATGTGTAGCTTTTACCATTTCTGTACCATGGCTGACCTCGGACTACCAGCGGGCTGTCACTGAGCAGCTGAGAGGAGCCCGGCAGCATTCCGTTACATAGAAATGCCACCACCTTTGTGCCACAGACACAGTGACCTCAGGAGCATCAGGCATGTAAAATGAGAAAGTATTTTGAGTAGTGCCTTGGTTTAGTTACAGGTTAATTTAACTTGAAATCATGGCTGCACGACTTTCAAAATGAAAATTTAACAGTCAGCTTTTCTAAAGCTGGTCTGGGTTAGCCTAGTGTGCCACTGACCTGGGGGTCTCAAAAAAAGATTCAGCATTTCCTTTGCTGTCTTAGGACACAAGGGAACTCCTGATTTCTACAGGAGGAATGTTAGGGACTTAGGATCATGGGTAAGGGAAGAACACATAAATCCTTTTCAACATGCTAGAGGGTTGTGATTAATTTAAAATATATCTAAATATATCTACATCTAGCAATGATTAAGCTTTATGATTTCAGCATTTTTTTTTCAAACCTCAACTAAAAGTGATCTCAAGCCCAGCGTTTAGCCCATGCACAGGGTGATGAGTGGAGAGATGTGAGCTGTCTTTGGTCCCTCCCATCTGGTTACCAGGGACTACCAAGTCTGAACCAGAGAAGACGATACTAAAGTGCTAGGCAGGTGCTTGATTTGTTCAGGGAGCACTCAGGGACCAGGACTCAACTTCCTGCCTAAGTATGAAAGGAAACGACGTAAGCAAGGTGGCAGGAGAAGCTTCCTCCGTGACCCTCGGCCTCCTGTGGCAGTTTGATCACCCTGGCGCTCAGGAGGCTGAGGTCTTCACCTCTGGTAGCTCTCAGAGTTCTCCACGCCAAGGGGTTTGTCTTGGGTAAGAACTACGAAAGAACACATAGAGAGCACAGGTAGCAGATGCGGATGGCCCTGGCTTGCTCTGCAACAGGTCACTCTAGAGAGTGAACAAGTTTTTTGTTTCTCTGCTGTTCTGGGGCTCATTAGGGTACACACACACACACACACACACACACACACACACACGGTATGGTGGGAAGTCAGACCAAGTTCTGGTGAAGTGCTGATAGAGGCAGTTAGCTGGGACTAGTGTCTAGGGCTGGGGGAAAAACACAGAGACCATCAGTCATTTGATATTTGACATAATGGTGTGCCTCTTCTTCTTCTTCTTCTTCTTCTTCTTCTTCTTCTTCTTCTTCTTCTTCTTCTTCTTCTTCTTCTCCTCCTCCTCCTCCTCCTCCTCCTCCTCCTCCTCCTCCTCCTCCTCCTCCTCCTTCTTCTTTGGCCCAGTCTTTGTGTGTGTGTGTGTGTGTGTGTGTGTGTGTGTGTGTGTGTGTGTGTGTGTGTATGTGTGTTGGGGGGTCTGTGTGCCACAATATTTGTATGGAGGTCGGAGGACTGCTTACAGGAGTCAGTTCTCTCCTTCTACCATGTGGGTCCCCGGGAGTGAACTCGAAAGTACCAGCCCTGGTGGCAGGCACCCTTACCTTGCTGAGCCATCTTGACTACATATGTTACGTGAAGTTCTATGTAGAAGGCTGGGCTGGTCAGTAGCTACTACCTGCCATCTCAGAGGCTGTTCTGGGGATGGGGTGTCCTCCCTCCTGCTGGGCCTCTATAGTTAAAATTTGTGTTGTTGTTGTTATTTTGTTTTGTTTTATTGAGACAGGGCCTCACTATGTAGTCCGGTCTGACCTGGAACTCACTATGTAGACCAGGCTGGCCTCAAAGTCATAGATCCACCTGCCTCTACCTCCCCAGTGCTGGGATTAAAGGCGTGTGCCACCATGTCCAGCTCTGTACTTAATATATAGAGTGGACATAGCTACTTAGCAAGAGAGGGCGGTAGTTCTTCAGTGTGTGTGTGTGTGTGTGTGTGTGTGTGTGTGTGTGTGTGTGTGTGTGTGTGTGTGTATGTGTGTGTGTATGTGTATGTGTATGTGATTTGTTTTCACTGAGAGAACACTGGCTTTGCTTGGGCACCTTCTGCTAAGACAACCCAATGCATGGCTGTAGTCACTGGGCAAGGGACATGCTGAGTTACAAAAATAGCCTTGGTACTACCCTGGCCTGGGGTCTCCTTTGGGTCTCTGTCCCAAAGGAACTCTTCCCTGCCATTTGGCCAAAAAGATTTCTTTGTTTTTTTTTTTTTTTTTTTTTTTTTAAGAAGCACTTTGGAGAAGAGTCAGAACCCCAGACTGCAAGGAAGTGGCCAGCCAGTTAGGCCACCGGGCCAAGCTCCAGCCGGGGAGGCAAGCTCTGGCCTCTCCTGCTCTCGACTTTTGGCCCTAGGATCCACTGTAAAAGGAGTTGCAGGAAGACAGGTTCACAGTCCGTGCCCCTCTGCTAACGGAGAAGCGGTGAGTCAGCCTGCTCTACCCTCTCTTGCTTTCCCACTCCAGTGTGGCCAATCCAGGAAAGCAGGGAGAAGGGCAGGGGAAACGGTAGAAAAATAAACACTTCCTTGCATTTCACTGGGAACAGAACAGCTCTTCGGATTGTTAAAATCACACTGCCCTCCCCCGCTCCGTTTCCCCTCTCTGTGGAGAAACACATTTTCTCCTTACCTGATGAGAGTTCAGGGTGTATCCTGTGGAAAAACAGGAGCACGGTGTAGAAGATAAAAGCCAGGCAGCCAAAGATCACACCGCAGACCAGGAAACTGTAACTGCCCTGGGCCTGGAAGATCTGCCAGAGAGGAACACAGAGTGGCCATTGAATTCCCATGTGACGGTGTACCGGAAAAATGGCTGCCTTGGGCCCTTGTAGGCTTCCCAGTCCCTTGGGGCATTCCTACCGGACATAGGAATGTAGGGGAGGTCTTCCCAAGGTTAGAGGTCTGGTGAAGACAGAAGTCCTGCCCTAAAGCTAGGGTTGGACCTGTCTATACCCCATATACTCTTTCAGTTCCATGTTCTAGAACTTTCTGGAAAACTCCATATGCTCACTGAAATTCCAAACACATGAGATGTTTCTATACCCATAGGTCTAACTGAAACTTTGCAGAAGGTCTGTGTGTGTGTATGTGTGTGTGTGTATGTGTGTACTTTTAACTTATGAAAATTTAGAGCATGTCTAAGTAGCAAATAGAACTTTCATAGACCACCAACTTAAGAAACCATACCATGTCCAGTATGGTAGCTCATGTCTTTAATCCCAGCACTCAGGAGGCAGAGGCAGGTGGATCTCTGTGAGTTCAAGGCTAGCCTGGTCTACATAGCAAGTTCCAGGACTATATAGAGAAACTGTTTAAAATTTTTAAAAAAAAAGGAAAAGGAAGAAAGAAACCACACCAACTCAGACTCCAGACGTGGCATTTCGATGCAGAGGGCATCCAAAACGTAACTCTTCCCCTTCATCGGGTTGGAGGGAGGAGAAAGGAGTCTCCAGTGGCTGGAGGGGATTCTGGAGGGTATACCACCTAGGCTCCGCAGCACTGCTGGCCATTACTAAAAGCCAGCAGACCTAGGGCAAGCTGCTCGGTTATTTATGTTTCAGGATCCTGTGCTGAAAAAAGACTGGCGTCTCTGTTATGGTCATCAAGGAAAGTAATGTGGATTTTGATTTTTGATTTCCTGGGAAACAAATGTAACATGGGCATGTTGAAGGACAGGTAGGGGGTGGTCAGGGCGGGTGCTGGACATGAGCAGAGGGTCCTAGTTAGCATGGCCACAGACTGGGAGACATGGACCTGGGCAGGATGGATAAAGAACACTGCCAGAAGCAGAGCTCACCATCCAGGCTCTGAGGGCCAACAGCAGTCTCACGGGGCCCCCTGGCCCCAGGCCCAGACAGCCCTGTTTGCTTTGGATTCATGGATTCAGTCATTAAGGTCTCCACAGCCCACACTCAGAGGCCTGGCTTTTGAGTCTGGCTGGCTTGGAGACAGAAACAGTTAGCTCCAGCTGGTGGATTCCTGCAGGCTATGTGGGATTCGGGAGGTGATAGCTTGCACTTAAAGGTGGCTGGCTGAATCTTCTCACCTGCTTGGGGGAGTGCTCCCCAACCCCCCACCCCCCAGGGAGGACCCCACCTACCAAACCAACCAGCATCTGCAGGACCATCTCGCCAATTCCTGCCCCAGTCACCAGCACTGTAGTCGCACAGCCTAAATCAAAAGAGAAGAGAAGGTGGGGTGAGAGCAAGCTGAGGATGCAGACGTGAGCGATCAGAACCCAGAGCATTCTGGGATGCCTCTGGAAGGTGTCAGAGATCGTTGTGGGTTCCGACTAGGACTTTGATCTGTGACTGCCTCAGGAATGTTTCTCTCCTGCTATTCACCTGTCTCTTTCTTGTTCTCAGACCTTCAATCATTCACAGTTGTGTAACCTGGCATTCAGGACTCTTCTCAGCCTGGCCACTGCCTGCCTTTCCAGAGAGATCCGAGACCTTCAGAGCTCAAACTTAGCATCAGACTTGGAGTCTAAGGCCAGTTATAACACCCCTTGCCATGTGCCCTTCAACAAGTTGTGTGGCTTCTGCAGAGTGCTGGCCCAGGACAGACACTTGAAGGCAGGTCCCTCACCCTTCAGGATGAGTCAAGATGCTTTATGCAGTTTTTCAAGGCCATCTCTCACCCTGCTGGCTCCCGAGCCACCCTTCAGCCAGGATAAACTGGCATTATGACCTGTGTTGCTGCCTGTCTCGGATGCGGCCCTTTACTGGCCCGCTGAAGATTTCCCTCCCTCCGCCAGTTCATGTGTTGTGCCTGAGTTTAGATGTCCTTTGAGAACATCTCCCACAGTCCCTATGCCTAGGATGGCAGCTTCTCCCCTAGCCCTGACTGCCCCTGCCTGTTTCCGGCACATTCTGACCCCCTAGCTGACGGTCTTCCTCCCCCACCAGACACTTTTCCAGGAGGGTGACCGCCTCTCTGGTTCCCTGACACATGCCAGAGCTTATCCGTAGCACTGCAGCCTACGTTGGCACATCTCTCTCTCTCTCTTTTTTTTTTTTTTTGGTTTTTTGAGACAGGGTTTCTCCGTGTAGCTTTGCGCCTTTCCTGGAACTCACTTGGTAGCCCAGGCTGGCCTCGAACTCACAGAGATCCGCCTGGCTCCGCCTCCCGAGTGCTGGGATTAAAGGCGTGCGCCAGGCTCCACCTCCTCCCAGCTCTGTCTCCCTCCAGCCAATCCCTGCCCCGCCCGAGCTTGCACATCCTTCCTCCGCACCTAACTCTCCTTTTCCCCACCCTTTCCTCCGTGCAGGGCAGCTCACATCCCGTCAGATTTCGACACTGAACACTGCTCACTCCCGTCTCTGAATCCCAAGGGCTCCCAACTGTCCCATGCGTTCTTTTGAAACACCCTGAGGCCCTTCTGCACATCAGCAATCGTGCTACAGACTTGCAGGTAGGGAGCCCTGTGAGCTGCCAGGGATGCCAATCCATCAAGAGCTTTGCATCCTCTCCCAGGCAGAGCATTTCTACGGGACCAACATTTGTCTCTGGGTTGTTTTTGTGGTACCGGGGAGCTCACCCAGAGCCTTCCACATGCAAGGCAAGTGCTCTGCCATTGAGGTACAAGCAGCCCAGCAGAGGTAGGCTGCTGCTGCTGCTGCTGCTGCTGCTGCTGCCTTTTCCTGCCTTCTCTTCCTCCCCCCCCCCCTTTCTCCTTCCTCCTCCTTCATCTTCTTCCTCCTCCTTTTTTCTGAGATCAGGTCTCACTATGTAGCCCTGGCTGGCCTAGGACTTACAGAGATCTGCCTGCCTCTGCTTCCCAAGGGTTAGGATTACAGGAGTGAGCCACCATATGACAGACAGGAAAACGGAGGCTCACTGAGAAGAAATGAGGTCACTCGAGGTCACAGACCTGTGAATATAGAGGTGGGACTGTGTCTGCAATGTCCTCAAAGCCTACACTTTCTCTTGTCCCTTTCTGGGACTGTGTTGGAGAGGACACAGCTTAGGTACAGAAGTCGTGAGATGGGTCACACTGCAGGGACAGGCCTGAGTCAGTGGGGCACAAAGGAGGGAGGCACCCCTTTCCATGGAGATCAGAGATACGTCCTGGAAGGGCACAGGGTGGGGGTGGGGGAGTTGATGGAGGCAGTCCAGACCAAGTGTGGTTATGGTCAAAGCATGGCGGCTCAAAGTAATTGCCATGTCATCAAAGGAACTCCAAGGAGTTAGTGCGCCTCGACTGCAGGCCTGCCACTCAGAGGACCCTCTGCAGCGGCACAGAGTGGCCTTGTGACAGTCCCACACCTAGATGCTGTCAGAACAAGCCACCTCTCCACTCTGACATCCCACTCAGAGGAGCCTGGGCCCTGGTTGCAGTGTAGAACTCCAGGGGATCCCAAAGCTGAGCCAGTGGGTCCGAGGGGGGCAGGACCGAAGGGCAACCAGACAAGCCCAGACCTACGAAGGCAGAGGAGGTGATGGCAAAGGGCAGCACCGTTAAATCTGCCGAGCGAGTAAGTGACGAGAAAGGCTGAAATTCAGCCCAGCCCGCAGGAAGTGACCGGAAGATGGAGCCGAGTGGTCATTCCGCAGATGCGTCATGCCGGAATGTCAGTTCATCTCTGAAAACTGACATAGGGACATTGTGTCACCCCTTAATGGACTCTCTTGAGTTTAGAGTCTGAGTCCTTTGGTCCCCCAGGGAGTCGCCTCCCCTGCTGCCAGGATGAGCTGGGGGAAGGGACTGTGTCTCCTAGGCATGGCCCCCTGTTCTTCATGATGTCCTCAGTAGCACACAGGCGTGTCCGAAGGATGGGCACCAACACTAGCTGATGTTGTTTCTGCCCTCGGCTCCATCGGGACCAGGGCTGCTTTGGAATCACAGTACAAAAGAACTTTCCCTGATTTGAGATATGTCTCAGCCATGTGTCAAACCCCACTTAGAGGATCCAGAAGTCAGAAACTCAAAGACACTTGATTCTTTGAGTCACCCTATCACATGAATTGTTTTTCTTCTAAGTCAAACATGGACAGGGCACTGTGCCAGCCACAATGTCAGCTGTAGATCCATGAAGAGGACCATGCCGTTATTAGGAAGAAGGACATAGACGCATGCTGCAGGACTTCCCTGTGGCCTGAGAGGACACACGCAGAACACACAGAAAGCCACGGACAGGACACCCATGACCAAACACGCCTGCCCTCACGTGCCAGCGGGTGTTTTGATTTTCCTGGTGCAAGTCCAGGCCTAGAATGCCACAGCAGGCTGGGAGCAGGAGAGGAGGTGGCCACCGGCTGCAGGGAGCATGCTTCTGTGTTCCTCTGCCACTCACCTTTGTACTGGAGGATGTCCTCCGTGTAGGCCAGCATGCTGGGGAAGGTGCTACTCAGAAACAGTCCGAGGCTTGCGGTCCCCACGAACAGGAAGATGACATTGTAGGAGAAAATAAGCAGGAGCAGGAATGTCACCACCACGCCCACCTGTACAGCAGAGGCAGATGCAATTAGAGAGGGCACAAGGCTGGGCATCTTGGAGGAAGGGATAGATCGTTCAGGCAGGAGCATTCACGCTGGCCCCAGGAGAATGGTGTGGCCCATGCGCCACCCTGTGGTCTCACTGATACCTGCACCATTCCTAATTCAGGATCTACACAGGGAGGTGAGCCGGACTGCAACCACCCCCAGCACCCGGGGAACACAGGGAACAGGCACTGCTGGCCCCCAGGGTCTTCCATGAACCCAGGTCATCAACACTCCCCCTCCTGCTAACGCCCCGCTCTGTGAAGTGTCCTTCTCTTTCCCTGACACCCGAGTTCCAGGGTCCAGAGTGAGGAAAGCCATGAGCTAGCAGGATGGGTGATGGACATTGCGTCCCTACCCTCTGGGAATCCAACACAAGGACCCAGGAGGATCAAGAGTTGTGGAAACCAGCTCGGTGCCTCCTAGATTTCACTTAAATCCCATGGCTGGAGCTAACAACTGGGTAGCTCAGATTGCATGCTCAGAAATCCTTGTGACTCAGCCAGGTCTGTGCCCCACAGGCAGAGTTTTGCTAAAATCACCCAGTTTCTATGCTCTTTAAAAATGTTTTTATGTAAACGTTGAGTGATTCCTCTGCAAAATCCATCTGGGAAGAGAGCGGAGCAGAACAAGGCTGGGAGTCTGAAGCCCGAGGTGCAGGTCCACGCTGAGTGCGTCCCAGTGCGGAGCCCGGAAGTAGCTCTCTCCAGGAGCCCTAGATCCGCCATCTTTACAGCAGCAGTTGGCAAGGGGCCAGTGGTGAAATGGCATGAGCTGAAAGTGCTGAGCTTCCAGCAAATGTTCTATTTCTCTGGTATTTCTGGGTGGTTTCCCCACCCACCCCAGATGCTGGGAGACAACCCCAGGACTTGGAGCATGCTTGCCAAGTACTCCACTGCTAAGCTGCAGCCCCAGCTCTGTGCTCTGAAGAAGCTTCATGTTCATTGCCAAGTACTCCACCGCTAAGCTGCAGCCCCAGCTCTGTGCTCTAAAGAAGCTTCATGTTCTGTACCAAGTCCTAGCTTTGATGGGGAAATGTCCCTAGGTTTGGGGCTGTGCATGTAGATCAGTGTTAGAGCACTTGCCCTGGGTGCCCAAGGCCCTGGGTTTGGTCCTCAGCACCACAAAACACATAGTGTCCCAGGAAGGGTCTATATATCTATTTCTAGGAAAATAAATACACAGACCTACAAAATCATGCAAAAAATCACAACTAGTCCCGAACCCACTCCTCCATTCACAGATGAAGGACTGGACAGGTTGAAAGGAAGAGACCTTCGGAGGGTCTCAGCAGACCTCGGGGGATTTTGCTCCCCCTGGAAGAGGGAGGCTAGTGACCCCAGCACACGAACCCCATTAGCTCTGCCTCAAGATCTCTCAGAAGTGAGGTGTTCTCGAATCACACTCAGGCTCACCCTTCCTGCCCTAGAGAAACTACTCATCAAGAAACAGGCTGAAGATGAACATGTCCTCCCTCCCCACGGGGAGACAACTTGAAGACCATCTTTCATGTGGTAAAAACACAAAGGCAGTGGGCTGTTGTGGCACGGGCTTGTAATCCCAGAGCTTAGGAGTCCGAGGCAGGAGGATTCTGAGTTAGAAGCAGCCTGAGCTACACAGTAAGACCTTGTCTCAAATAAACCAAACAGAAACAGAGAAGCAGGAGCTGAGACCACTCAACAGTTAAAGAGCACTGGGTGCTCTTTCTGAGGACCTGAGTTTGATTCCCAGCACCTGCATGGCGGCTCACAGTCATTATAACTCCAGTTCCAGGGAGCCTGATGTCCTCTTCTGGCCTCTGTGGGCACCAGACATTCAAGGGGCACTCAGACCTTCATTCAGGCAAAGCACCCCCACACAAAACCCCGGAACTCCACATAAAGGTGGAAAGAGAAAACCAACTCTCCAAAGCTGGGTCATGGCGTTAACAATATGCCCAGCCCTACTCTAGACTGGATCATAGACCAGGACACCCCAAGAGAGCCAAGCTAACCCCTTTCTCTTTATAGTTACCTTAAGCATGTCACTGTAGTGATGGAGGGCCCCATCCTTGTGGTCGCTCTAGGCCTGTCCTTGATCCCTGTTCCCTGCCTCCTCCACTCAGAGAAGTCCTGTCCACTCTGCCCCACGAAACATCAGGGAACCTTCCTGCCCAGTCCTGCCCGCACCCAAACCCTCCCTCCCTCCCTTCCTCAACTATTCTGCAAGAGTAAGCATCTCCCTGACTACAGCCAGATGCAGTTTGTTTATTTAGAGACACGTTCCCCCTATGTAGCCCAGGCTGACCTTGAACTCAATCCTTCTGTATTCCCCCAAGCGCTGGGACTGTAGGGGTGCACCGCCACATCTATCTGGGAGATCTTCCTTTCTTTTTTAAGTTTTTTTTTTTTAATTTTATGTGTATGGGTGTTTTGCCTGCATGTCTGTGCACCACATGTGTGCAATGCCCGAGGAGGACAGAAGAGGGCGTCAGATCCCCTGGAACTGGATTTACAGACGGTTGTTAGCTGTCATATGAGTACTAGAAATCGAACCTAGGTCCTCTGGAAGAGCAGCCATCTCTTCAGCTTGGGAAGTGCTCTCTTATAGTGGATTTCCTAGAAAAGTAGTGGGTTCCCAATCCCTGGAGGTATTTAAACAGAGACTGGCGGGGATGTCACAGAAGTGGTCCAAGCCTTAGTGGAAATTTGGCCTAGATGTACCCTAGGGGTTCTGTAATCTGGAGTCCTTTGTCATAGATGGTGACATGGACATACATCAGGACACAAATCTTTATCTGTTGCTTGGTCCAGACCCCGTTCCCAGCCAAACCGGTTCTTTGCCTGGCTACATGCTAGTCTGGCCATCTAAGAACCTCCTAGAGAGCTGCCAAAGGCAAATCCCAAGTCAGAGCAGAAGCATGGACCCCAAAGCCTTGCCCCACTGCCTAGAGGGCTCCAAACAGCCGGGCACTGTGAGAAGTTCAGGAGGCCCAAGGCTGAGACCTGCATCCCTCAGGCGACATCAGCTGTCCACTCCACAGTAATCACCCACAGTCTCTTCTACTGATGCTTCTAAGGATGTAAAATCAGAGGCCCAGATAGGAGAGGGGACTTTTCCAAGGCTACACAGTAGGCTCCTCTTCCTTCATCTCCATCCCTTGCCAGTATCTCTCCTCCATTCCTACCTCCCTACTATTCCAGCAGAATACAGTCCTGAACAAATATCTTGGGCAGTGGTAAGGCCAGGAATAAACACATTCTGTGTTTCTAATAAGGGAAAGGAGGCAGGCCACTTGGCCACTTACCACGTTGATGAACACCATGGTGGCTGGCCTCATTCTTGAGGAGACAGGGATGGAGATGAGTCGGCCCAGGGTGATGAAGCCCCAGAAGAGGCTGGGGAGGTAACCAGCCATCTTGTGTCCAACAGACAGGGGCTTCTCCACGGCATAGCTGTACACAAAGGCAGAATAAGCGCCCTGTGGAGAGAGGAGAGAGCAAGCCCCACTCAGGGCGCCAATGCCTCAGCTGGGACAGGCTGGGCAAGGCGGCAGAGGCCAACTGGTCTTGTCCCTAGTGGTTCAGCCCAAGATGCCCTGGGAGCCAAAATCACATGGGACACTCACACACAAGCCCAGGACAGAATGGGTGCCACAGCAGCACCTGAGATGTCACTGGGTCCCCATGGAGAATCTCCACAGGGTGTGGGCAGACAGGCATGGCTAGACGGAAAAGGGCTTCTTAACCTCTTACTTTACAAAAGAGAGGAGACAGGTCCACATCCACCCTAGAGTGGTACAAGTCGGGCAGGTCTGCTGTGGGCTGCCGCATGTGAAGAGGGCCTTCCCTTAGGAGTGTCCCTCCCACAGCAGTCAATCACTCAGCCATTCAAGACTCCCCTCACAGAGAAGAGTTCTGGAAAGGGCACTAAACAGAGTAACAGAGGTCACCCACTGAATGGATATTAGCTTGCGAAGCCCCATTTGTGGCTCATGCCAAGAAGCCGAGTGCACCCGAGTTCGTATAGTGTGGCCTCTCACAGGGCAGCAGGGCTGTGAGCTTTCAAAAAATGTGGGTCACAGCTGGGGATGGTGCATTTGGGAGAAGGACCAAGAGTTCAAAGCCAGCCTAGGCTACATTTGATCTTGGCCAAAACAAAGCAGCTAAAACTGAAAAACCTCGGACCACATAAAAGTGGAAGTAGAACAGACGGGCCCCTTTCTAGAATGCACAAAATAAAAACGATTGTCAGGAACAGAACAGAGTCCTGGTGCTGAGGGGCTGTGGCATTGTGGGCACTGTGGGAGACGGGCAGGACACTGGTTCACTGCACTGTAGGTGAAGTCCTGCAGAACCTCCATGGGCTTCTCTCTCCTCTTGCCAGTCCAGACTCGGGGATCAGGGTAGAGGCCTCTCAGTAGAGATACCTTCGGAGGAAGACTCACCATCATCCCATCTGTCATGAACAGGACCAGAGCCGCTGTGATGTGGATGGCGAAGAAAGAGCATGGGGCTCCCCGGAAGTTCTTCCTCTGGCAGCAGCTGAACAGGTCCTCCTGCCCTGGAGGAGGCACAGGAGGGCAGGGCTGAGTCCACCTCTGCTCCCTCCCCTCTGCTCACCCAGTTAAGGCTGGGGCTGCTTGCCGCCTCCACTTCTTCTAGCTTTCAGGCACCTGTGAGGAGCAGCCGCTGTTCTTTGCCCACTCCTGGTGGAACTAAGGCTCACAGAGGTCCACTAACTCCCCTAAGGTAACCCAGGAGAGACCGGGGAGGATGGAGACCGTCTGCCTTTTTCATTCTTTCCGCCAGACGGCTCCATCACTTACCTTACGGGACTACCAGGACCAAAGACTGTTTCTGACCGTTAGCACTGGGGTCTAGGGTCATCTTCCGGGTGTGGGGTTACTAGGACAGCCAGAATAGAGGACAAGAGCCCGCACCTGGGTGTGACTGAAACTTGGGGGCCAGTGAGGAGGTGTCTTCCTTCTCAGCAGGCCGGGTCTCCAGTGCAAGCTCGTCCGCAGACAGGAGCAGTGGCGTCCGCTGGGGGCAGGTCAGCAGCCGCTCCTTGGACAGCAGGAACAGAACCGCCAGGGGCACTGGGAGCTGAGGGCAGCAGAGGGTCAGGAGGGCCTGGCCTGCTGCGTTTGGCCCAGGCGGCAGGCTCACAGTCCAAGGTGCCCACCTCACCAAAGAGCCTCTGCGAGCCCATGAGCCAGGCACCTGGATACCACCTGGGCTTGGTGTGAGCACTGCTGGCCTTGGCCACACCCATTTCTCACAGGAGACAGGGGAGGAAGCCTTCCAAAGCCTGGGCTTACAAGGGTCCTCTGCTCCTTAGGCCGGGTGCTGGGTGTTATTCCCAACACCCTTATTCCCGATACTGCTACAGCACAGTGCCTCTTGTTTCTGTGTGTCACAGCTCTATAAAGTGTGACTGGGGGTGGGAGTCTGGAAAGATGGCTCAGCAGTTAAGAGCACTTACTGTTCTTGCAGACAACTTAGATTTAGCTCCCAGTACCCACATGGTGCTTCACAACTGTCTGTAATTCTAGTTCCCGGGACGCGACACCCTTTTCTGCCCTCCGCGGTCACCAGACACACACAAGGCACACGTCCACGCGGGCAGAATACTCATACACATCATATAATTTTTGAAAATGCAATTAGGGGGCAGAGGACGTGGCTCAGTGGACAGGGGCCTGTCTACCAAGCGCAAGGGCCCCGGGTTCTAACTCTGGTACTATCGAGAGGTGGGGAAAAAATGTGTTGAAAAGATTTTTTTATCACGTTTTCCAGATGGGACAAAGGAGGTTCAAAGTTATTATACAGCCACATACTGTTAGGACCGGAAGAGACCCGGGGTGTGTGTGTGTGTGAGGGGGGGTCGACTAGACACAGAGTGCAGCATTCCCACCACACGCCTGGCACTGGCATTCTGATTCTGGCCTGCATCTTCCTACCTCTGGGCTGCTGGAGGGATGGTACATCCTTGGAGGGTACTGAGCTCTGCTAGGAGCTTGATGACTAAGCTAGAAAACACAGGCACAGGTAAGTGCCTGCTCCCCCTCCCCCTGCCCGGCTCTCTGCTCCTCACACTGTGCCACTTAGTCCCAAGGGTGCTCACTAGTCCAACAGGAAACTCCTCCTACTTCTGAGGTTGCCTGGAGAAGCAGCCACTGGCTCCCGCAGGTGTCCCTGCCCAGGTCCAATCACCTTCACTACCAGGAAGTTCTTTATCGAGTCTAACGGCTATCCTTCCTCCTGCTGTGGCTGTAGGCTGGGTCCTTTTCTTAGGAAGGAGACACTGAAAAGTTCCAGAAGTGTTTCAATGTAGCCAGCGCTAGGCCAGGCAGCCGTGGAAGCCAAGCAGACACCCAACCTGGCAGTGCCCTGCTCTTAGGGAGCCCCTTGCACCCCCCCCCCAAGAGTGGCTCCCACCGGCCTGAAGAGAAAAAAAAACACCCAATCCCATGCTGACATCTCCCTAGGGTGATCTTGAGAGCCTATTTCAACACTCAAAAGCCAGCCAAGGTCACGGTTAGGTGTGGTGCCACACACCTGGAGGCTCAGCCACTCACGAGGCAGGAGTTTAAGATCAGCCTGGGCAACACAAGTGTAACCCCAACCCACAATCTGCAAACACAGGGTCAAGTTCAAACAGCCAAGCTATGAAGCCACACAAGGGGGCCTGCACGGCAAGAGACCTGTGTCCCTGTGCTGGGGAGACTCAGCCCGCCCTCCAGTAACTGGGGAAACAGGAAGCCCACGTGGAGGCTTCGGCAGCAGAACACCTGAGAAAAGGCCAAGGGGAAGCAGCTGGACTCAAGGCCTGGCGCTTAGGTGGCCTTTCTAGAGAGATGGGTGAAGGGAAAGGCTTCACAACAGATTGGCTGGCATGCTGGCAGGAACATACCTCGCTTTTACAGGAATTCCATTCAGGGACGCCAGTGCCACTTTGAAAACCAGCCAATGCCAGGCAGGTGTGTGTGTGTGTGTGTGTGTGTGTGTGTGTGTGTGTGTGCATAAGGAAGCCAGTCCATTCACTGCTGTATTCCTTCGGTGGTGGCTATTTATGTTCAGACACAAACAAATAGGGTAATTCCCAGAAATCTTGTAGCAAGAGGACCCAGGTTCAATTCCCAGCTCCCACATGGTAGCCTCTCCAGTCTGCACCTTCATGAGAAGAACAGACCCTGGGCCTGTGCAGGGTTTCCTGCATGCAGAGTCATAGCAAGAATCCTTCCCTAAGCAGGGACCCCTTGGAGGACACAGGTTCAAAGCTGCCTTTATCCAAAATAGCGGCCATGGGCATAAAAGGGACAGAACAGAGGGAACGTGGTGCCTTGCTGAGGGACTCACTGACTTCAGCCCAGGGAAAGGAAGGCTGTTTAGGAGCAGTCTCTAGGTCTCTTTCTAGCTCCCTATCAGGACCTTAGGCCCGTGAGGTGGGACAGACACCCTTCTGCATGCCCAGGACTACTGTGATGGGGGCTTAGGGACCTTTCCGTGTCACATGCAGGCATTCCTCTGAAGCCAACTGCCTCTGGAGGACCGGGTAGGCCTACTGCAGAGAGGCCCCGGGCCAAAGCGAGATGCCCCACACAGGAACTCTATCCCCCACACAGCCAGACTATTGGCCACCTGGAATATTCTCACTTCCAGTCTATGATGGGTCAGAACCGGGAGGCCTGGTAACTAAGGCGGCTTGAGCAGTTACTCCTAAGCCTGGTGGGTAGGGGGACCCCAATCTCCCCTGGGTTAACAGGGGATCCTCTTGAGTTGTTGAGCTCTGGAGGTTTCTAAGTAGAAGCCAGAATCAATGCTGACTTGGCCAGGTGCACAAAAGGGGCCTGAGTGGCTAAGCTGGTCGGGGTCAGTGGTCTCTATGCTGTTTAGTTCCTTGTTAACTTGACCTAAATTGAGAAAATGCCCCCATCAGATTGGCCGGAGGTCATATCTGTGGGGCATTTTCTTGATTTATGGTTGACGTGGGTAGTGTTGCCCCTGAGCAGATAGTCCTGGGTTGTTTAAGAAAGAAAGCTGAGGGGCCTGTAGAGAGGATGGCTCAGTGGTTGGGAGCACTGGCTGCTCTTCCAGAGGACCCAGGTTCAATTCCCAGCAACCACATGGCAGCTCACACATGTCTGTAACCCCAGTTCCAGAGTTTCTGACACCCTCACACAGATATATATGCAGGTAAAAGACCGAGGAACATAAAATAAATTACTTTAAAAAAACAAAAAAAAGCAAGCTGACTAAGCCATGGGGAGTAAGGCATCAGGCAGGTTCCTCCAGGGCTTCTGCTTCAGTTCCTGCCTACTGGTTCCTGCCCTGACTTCCCTCCATGGTGGATTAGAAAGTGTAAGCCAAAATAAGTCCTTTTCTCCCGCGTTATTTTTGGTGTTTTATCACAGTTACAGAACCAAACTGGGATAGTCTCTCTGCCATTTCTACCACAGCTGACAGGCCTATCACTCCAAGGAAGCCGGAACCCAAGGAGCAGGGCCGAGGAGAGAGATCCCCATCAGTGATGAAGAATTCCAGAGAAGAAGTCACTATCTGCATGGCCTCTTGGTCATGGAGGAACCGATAAGGTTTTCGACAAGGCCTCAGAGAACTTGGAAGTTGACCCTGATTTTCACTGTGTAAACATACCCACGGCCTTTCTCTCTTGAGAACTGCCAACACAGTGTCACAGTGAAGGACCCTGGAGATGATTCCTACAGGTCACTTCTCCCTTTTGGCTGCACACCACGGTCCCTGGCATGTTTCTTGGGTTTGAAGATTCTGCACTGGGAAGCTGGACTGGGAGGCATGCACTGTTCCCCCCAGCTCCCTACCCCACCTGTACCAGTGACACTTACGTTGATGAGAGCCATGATCCAGAAGGCATAGGATACGTGGTTCTCTGTCGAATCCTTTGGGGATGGCCCGGGGATCGTCTGGTTTGACCAAGGCTGGGTTGCTGCCTGATGCTGGCCCAGGACCCTGGATGCATGGAACAGGTGGCTTCTGGAGGAGGCATTGGCTGTGCTGTTAGCAGGAAAGCAGTTGGCCTCTGACAGGAAGGGATCAGCAATCAGGGGGCTCAGCAGAGCACCAAAGCCCACGAAGAAATGGAGGACCTGGGTGGGGGGTGGGCACCGCTCAGCCTGGTTCAGGACTTGCATCCACAGGGTGCAACCTCCCTTCACCTTTACCTTGTGCCGCTGCCTGGCCCTACGGTTGGGAGGAAGACCCAGGAAGCAGGAGGGAGAAGGAAGGCTGCTGAGAAAAGCCCCCTGGCACCAGGCTTGATGCCTGGGGTAGCCCTGTGACAGGAGCCAATCCTTCCTTTCCCTCTCACTTCCCCATCCTGTTCCCATTGGTGCTGTGCCTGTCATGGTGGTCAGTTTCATCAACTTGACTGGATTAAGACACCCGGAGGGCACTAGGAAAATATCCCTCTGCGGATATCTGTGAAGGCATTTCCAGGGAGGCTAATGAGGGAAGACCCACCCAAATATGGGTGACACCATCCCATCAGCTGGGGTCTGAGACTGAGTGAAAAGGGAAAGGAACCATCCAAGCCCTGGCATTCCCCTCTGTTTGCTAACTGGTGCCCAGGACGGTGCAGCTCCTGACACCGTTCCTTCCCCACCATCACGGACTGCATCCCCCTGAACCGCGAGCCCAAATTAACTCTCTTCTCTTAACTTGCTTCATTGGGTACTTGGTAACAGCCACATATGCTGGGCGACTAGAAGGAGAGAGGAGAGGAGGAGGAGAGAGATGGGAGAGCGGACCTCAAGCCCTCAGTAACACTGCCTTCCCTAGTTAGAGAACTTCTGTTACCAGTGGGGTTCCTGGGAGAGGCCAACAAGGCAGGCAGAGACCACCCCTGGAGAGATGAAGAAAGCCGAACCCAGGTGTTAGGTGACTGGTGATGCTGTGGTCCAGCTAGTAAGTGATCAGGACAGGCTGAGCCACCACCATCCCTGGGGAGGGCCTGGGGAGCTCCCGGCACTCTGCCCACTCCCCGGCCTCCCCCTGTGCAGCTCACCTGAAGGAAGAAGGCTGAGTCCTTTTGGTATATCCTCACCAGCTGCATGTTGGCCACGGTGTCGATGCAGCCCATGGCTAGGCCCGCCAGCGCTATGACCGAGGCCAACACCTTCACATCATGGCAGAAAGGGATGACAGCAAATACCAGGGAGATGGCCAGGGTAGAGGTGAAGAGGGCCCATAACGACTGGGCCAGGCTGGGCAGGGGAGAGCTGGAGTCAGCAGAGGAGCCCAGAGCCTTCCTGGAAGGCCCCTCCTCCTTGCCTTTGCTCTGCTACCAGCAGGAAGGGAACCGCTCACAAGCTGTGGGTCACAGGCAGGTGGATGAGTGTCCTAATGGCTTCTCATGGCTGCCACGAGGACACCCGATGTCACATTGGTGCTCACAAAGCTCAACTATCATTTTATGCTGCTAAAACCTTAAATTATTCACTCTAAGTAATTCTCTATGAAACAATATTCCTGTCCCTCTCAGGGAGGCTACTTTGAGCGTCTTCAAGGGAACATCGCCATCCATATATCTACGGATAAGGGCTGGGGACCCAGGATGAACCTGAGTCTGGAAGTCCTCAGCTGGACAAGAATAGGGGCAGGTACATGTGCCCTTCACACAGGAGTTGACAAGAGCTGTGTTTCCGGGCAGAGCCAAGCTGCCAGGAGCAAAGCCATAGCAGAATTTGGTTAATGTAGTGACCTCTCTTCACGGACAGAGGTCAGGGGCTATCCCTACTGAGACCAGTCCGAGCAGCTCCCAGTTCAGACAGACATCAGAACAGCCCTCCGCATTCGGAGGGCTGTCCCCATGAGAGATCGATGTCACGGTCCTTTTGGCAGTGAATTCTGCCTGATAACCAAAGGCTGGTGTGTTTAGGACCACTCTACAGGCTAATGTGCTGTGTTGTGGGAAGAACTTGGGCAGCAAGAAGGTTCTGGAGGTTGTGAAAGAACGTCCTCAGATTACGAAAAGGGAGAGGTGGGTCAAGACCACCTCTGAGGTTCCGGAGCACTGGGAGGGCAGAGGGGATCCTCAGAGGTGGAGCGGATTGTCTTTTCCAGCACTTGCCTCTGATCCCCCTGGCATCAGCCACCTCATCTGCTTGTATCTGATTAGAGCCTTTATCAGAAGACTTCTGTGATAGCAGCTGTTCGTTATTTTGTTATTTTCTCATTTCCAGGCTGATCTGTTGAGATTACTGTTCATGACCCCTGTCTGTTCCCACTCAGAACCTGGGGGTAGACGTGCTTCAAGGCCGGGCTGAAGAGGATGGGGGGGAGGGTGGCTGCAAGGTGGGTGGTCTGTTCAGGATGCAGTCTGGCAGCTCTCCCTTGGTCCCCGCTCTGACCGTCCCCAGCCCTGACCACCCAGCTGCCCTACTTGGGTGTTTGCTTGTGTTTCTGCGTCCTGCTGTGTCATACCACGTCTCATTTGCCTCTTCCTCTGGACCCAGTACAGAGGGGATGCCTATGCACGCAAGGCTTGATGAAAACCGTAGACCTTTCCTTTCCACGCTCTCTCTCCTCCCACGCTTCCTTTCCTTGTATAAGACAGGCAGGCGGCGTCTTGCAGACCAGCTTCAGGGACAGCAAGAGTTACTTCTGTGTGTACCTGCACCCATTACCACTACCTCACTCACCAAGTCAGGTACAAATACTCTGAAGAATTAGCGCATTACGGATGCCGGCCATGCTAGCGCTCTGAGGAAGATGCCGGCCACCCTAGCACTCTGAGGTAGATGCCTGCCACCCTAGCACTCTGAGGAAGATGCCGGCCACCCTAGCACTCTGAGGTAGAAGGAGGAAGATGGAGAGTTCAGCACAGCCTGGGCTACATGGCAAGACCATTTATCAAAAATCCAAAAGAAACCAAACAGTTGTCGAGAGCTGGGAGAATGGCTCAGTGGTGTGCGCCTAGTGGGTGTCTATTGGCTATCCTGGAGGTGTGGCTTGTATGGAGTGGTTCAATACAGCACTCAGGCTTGTAGCAAAATCCTGAGGGGATGGGACCTAAGACCAATAAGCTGTGACAGAAGAAACCACAGAGAGATCGGAAAGGGAAGGACTGGGTAATGCCTGGCGTTACCGTGTGCGCGAAAGCCACTGAAATCCATTCACAGTGGTACAGACTTTTAGTACACGTGAGAATACTGTGAGATGGGCTTCATGCTTGTGCCCATTTGCCCCACGAGTGAACCCAGGCTAGGAGGAAGCAGGCATGGATAATCCCTTCCCTGTGTCTCCTGCCAGAACTTGGGCTGTGGTTGGAGTCTAAGCCACCCAAGTCTGGAAGGCTGACCCCACATTTGTTCTGGGTTCTTGGGCCAAAGAGTAGGCCAGCAGCTCACTCTTCCAGGTGCTATAGGGCTATGTGTGGACATTCCAGAAATCCTTAGAATGATACGTTGTTCCCAGGGCCAGACTAAAGTTTATGCATTGCCCATTTTAAATAGCTGAGGTAATAGCCCCTTTCAGGAATGTGGGTAACCAAAGATTGCAGGGTAATAATGTTAAAGAGATTTTGACATCAAAGATGCAATGGACTGTGTGGTCAAAACACTTGGTTCGAGGCTCACCTCTGATACTGCCCAATGTGTGTCCTGTGGCAAGCCACTACTACCTAGCCCCTCTTGAGCCTCAGTTTCCCCCCACTCTAATTGGGGATAGCAAGTGCTCCATCTCAAGGCCTCAGGCAGCTCCCTCCCCAGTGCTCACCCCTCCTTGCCGCCCTGGGCTTCGTCAACATCAATTCGGAGCCCAGGATATGTGCCATCAGGAAGAAGGACCAGCGCCCAGGCTAGGCTTCTTCCCACCTTTCTCATGAGTGATCCCGGGAGACTGATCCAGGAATATCCCAGGAGCCCACTTCCTGGCTCCACACAGTAACCTAGAGCAGCTCAGCTAGCACCTGAGAGAGCGTCTCACTTTAAAGATCGGGAAACTGAGGTCTAGACGGGAAGAGTAGCACCGAACGGAGCCCAGGGTCTTGACTCCCAATGGAGACAAACATCCAGCGGAGTGCCATTAAGCTGCCCTCTGCTGGAACTCAGACGTGAGTGTTAAAGATCCTCCAAGGCCTAAGAAACCTATGCCAGGAAGCCTGATAAATGGTCAAGTTACTTATTAATGGCTCCACGTGAAGCTGTAAGTGGGAGCGGCGAGAAGGAGGGGCCAGCATCCTCTCTGGGGTTGGCTGTGACTATGGTGGCATTGCCTGCTGGGCCACTTGGGCTATGTGACCTTGAGTAGGCTGCTAACCCCCTCTCAGCACTGGTTGCCAGGTATACATGTGACCACCTTGGTGTGTCCCTGCCTCGGGCACCTGTTCTTGGCTTCCTGGTGCTGTGAAAAGAGGCGAGACTTCATGGCTCTACACAGGCAGGGCCCACTCCCGTTCTCTGTTCCCAGCTGGGGAAGAAGTCTGCTGAGGCCTGATTCCATGCTGCCTGGAGTTGTCCCAGGGTCTGGGATACCGCTGTTCTCCTCAGGAACTCCCTCTCCATGGCGGGGATGCTCAGGACCCCACCCCAATGGACCATCTCTTTTCATAGAAGACCCATGGGAAGGGATGGAGGCCAGAATGGTGACGTCACCGCAGAAGCAGCACTCATCAGCCTCCAGGGGCAGGAAGCCCCTCCTTCCAGGAGCTAGGATCAGTTAGCAATTTTCTCTCAAGCCAGGCTGATGGGGGCAAGAAGGGTCCCCTACGCCTCAGTCACCTCAAGCCTCCACACTGATGTTTCAGTCTGTTCATGGTCCCATGTTGGGGAGGCAGGACTGCCCTATCTGACCCAGGCTGTGGCTGCACCCTGTCCTCAGTGGCTCACTGGGTGCTGAACATGTGCAAAGTACCTTAGACCAGAGCCAAACCTCAGGTCTGTCTGTGTAGGACACCTCTCCCCCAGTTCCTGACATACCTGACCTGTTCCTCAGGAGCCAGTTCTTTTTTTTTTTTTTTTTTTTTGGTTTTTCGAGACAGGGTTTCTCTGTGTAGCTTTGCGCCTTTCCTGGTACTCGCTTTGGAGACCAGGCTGGCCTCGAACTCACAGAGATCCGCCTGGCTCTGCCTCCCGAGTGCTGGGATTAAAGGCGTGCGCCACCACCGCCCGGCAGGAGCCAGTTCTTAATGTCACCTCCCCAAAGTGGCCTACCCTGAGCACCTAGCGAGAGCAGCCCACAACTCAACTCTGCCGCTCCCTAGCCCCACCCCATTCCACTATCACACTCTGCCTTCTTCCAGAATGGATATTTAGGAAGAGCAGGGACCTTGTCGGGAACCCTCGCTCCTGAAACAGAGTGGGGTTCGAGAAGCATTTGCTGATGAATGAATTAATTCATGGGATGAGTTCTGAGATTTTTGTTGTTGTTGTTTTGAGACAAGGTTTCTCTGTGTAGCTTTGCGCCTTTCCTGGAACTCACTCTGTAGACCAGGCTGGCCTCAAACTCACAGAGATCCGCCTGGCTCTGCCTCCCGAGTGCTGGGATTAAAGGTGTGCACCACCATCACCTGGCGGAGTTCTGTGATTTTTTTTTAATTAAAACTTTGAAATATGGTTTCTATACTATAAAGTTCAACCATTTAAGTGTATAACTCAATGTTTGTTTGTTTGTTTGTTTGTTTTTCATATTGTGTGTAGTGAACCCATTACCATAGTTTAAATTTTGAGGTTTGTTTATTGTGTTTGTGAGATAGGGTTTCACTATACAGCCAAAGTTTTCCTAGAACTCGAAATCCTCTTGCCTCAGCATCCCCACTCCCATCCCACCTAACCACCACCCCCTCCCAAATGCTGGGATTATGGGCATACATTGCTGTGTCTAGCTTAAATTTAAAATATTTCTGTCACTTCAGAGAGAAATCCTGTGTCCATGAGCAGTCACCCCTGTGCTTCCCCACACCCATCCCCAGCCTCAGTGAGAGTCTAAGTAAGAGTCTTACCTCTTACTCCTGGGCTTCCTGTCACTCCAGACCCTCTGTGCTGGACAGCCCCTGTGAATGGTCTCATACCCTGTGTGGTCTTTCACGACTCGCCATCTCATGACGAGCACTTTGGCTGCATGAGACACCCTCGTAAGGATGGCGCCATAGGCTTGCCTGCCCCACACTTATGAAAATCTAGTTTATTTCCACTTACTTATTATGGAATGGTGTTGTGAACATCCATTTTGGCGTGGACAAACGTTTTCACTTCTCTTGGGCATATACTGAGGAGTAGAACTGTGGGATCCATGGTAACTCCCTGTTGAATTTCTGCTGCTGTTTTGTTTTGTGTGAGACAAGTTCTCAAGTAGGCCAGGCTGGCCTCAAACATCTTATGTAGTGAAGGCTAACTATGAGTCCTGATCCTCCTGTCTCTATCTCCCAAGGCCTGGGACTACAGCTTTACACCGCTACGCCTGGTTTTCAGATGTTTTTAAACGAGAGCCTCTCTGGTGCTCTCCCAGCAGGACTCTGGCGTAGGTTTGTGACATGCTGAAAGGTGGACAAGCTGTTGAAGGGGCAAACAGAGGCTTTCTAGAAGTGAGGCCAGTCAGAGCCCAGCCCAGAGAGGGGAACTGATGGTACTGTGTTCCAGGGACTACAAGGGGCTAGTGACTTGAGACCCAAGTGGACGTCCAGCTGGCTATGAGGAAGATGTGAAGATTCCGTTTGCTACCAAGGTTTCTAGGAAGGGTTCTTAGCTGGGACTAAGCAGCATGGGACTTGAAGGTAAGAGAGGATTAGATTTAAAAGATAAGAAAGGTGTCAATTGGCATATGTAGATATCAAGCCCTCAGCTTAGTGCAGAGAAGCCGTGGGGAGGCTGGGAGATGTTGGAGATCTCAAATCATCAATCTACTGATGCCCTGAGATAAGGGGGTTTCCCAACTGCCCGGGGTGGTTAGACAGGTCCCACAAAACCAGGGGAAAAAAAAAACCAACAAAAAACAAAACCCTAACCCTTTGTGTAAATACTCCTTACCTGTCCCGTCAAATCACATGCCTAGTCACCCTGCCAGCCAGGTGGCTTCCCATGTCTCTTCTCTAGATTTCCTCTGTGTGCTAAACCAGATTTTCCTAGGGAGGCTCCAGTGCAGCTTCTGGTGGCCGCTCTTCCTCTGCTGGCCCTGCAGATGGCCTCCTTCAAAGGCCAAGCTCTTTGTCTCTGCTAAGGTCAGGGAGGAAGGCTGGTGTTGCCCTGAGGACCCATTCCAATGCCTGCGCTAGGCATCTAGAAGGCTCCCTGTGGCCCAGAGCCCTCCCATTAGGCAGTAGATAGGCCCTAAGCAGAACCCTAAAGCAAAGCATCTGGTGTATCAGTCTCCCCCACACCCTCTCTACAGCTGGCCCTGGAGATTTGTTAAGGCAATCCCCCATTCCGAGTGCCAGCCTGGCACACTGACTGGTAATCACTTACACTGCAAAGCATTTCCTTGCAGGGACATTAGCATTTCAACAGACAGGCGAGGCTGTGCTCCACACGTTAGAGGCCATGTCTGGACTGGTGGGGCTTCTGTTCAGTTCACTTCAGGGGTGTGAAGGGGGAGACTGCTCAGAGTTAGCCCGTTGGGGGACATCATTGCTGACACTCAGGATCTTCCCCTTTCCCATCAGAGCCCTGCTTTGCTATGTGTCAAAGTAAACGGTTCTTGGTGACATTTTGTCTTAAAGCTGTGGAGGCTGAAACTCAGAATTGAAAGCCCAACCCCAGAGCCTACCTGGCTCTGAAAGATCTCAGCTGGAAACCCAGAGGCCTACATGGCCTTGCCAGGCACAGTCAGAGCTCAAGAAAACTCAGCCCATGAAGACCGACAGGGTATCTATCCATCTCCAGCACAAACCTTAGCTACAGGGCAGCCGTTGACACACATAAGGCAGGAGCCGTTTCCAAGGCACATGGGACTGCCGACAAACGCCCACATTCAAACCCTGGAGCCGTGTGATGTGGGACAAAGTCCGTCCTCTCTTCTTTCTTTCTTTCTTTCTTTCTTTCTTTCTTTCTTTCTTTCTTTCTTTCCTTCTTTCTTTCTTTCTTTCTGTCTGTCTTTCTTTCTTTCTTTCTGTCTGTCTGTCTGTCTTTCTTTTTCTTTTTTCTTTTTGGCTGCTTGAGACAGGGTCTTGCTATGTAGCCCAGGCTGGCCACTAACTCAAGATTCTCCTGACTCAGCCTCCAGAGATCTGGGATTACCACACCTGGGTGAATTTCTTAACCGCGCTGTGTGTCTCTGCTTCCTCGGGTATAAAACAGAAACAATAGATAGTACCACTCTACAGGGCTGTGGTGAAATTAAGTGGGTTGGTAGAAGAACTGAGAACAGCCCTGGCACAGGCCCTTTGCACGGTGGTTCAGGAACTGCTGTTGCTATTGCTGTGGTTTCCTCCTGCACTGTCTCCTATTCAGAGCCCTGGTGGATAAGGAACCTGGAGAGAGGAACACAGCCAGGGAGAGACGGCCCAGTTGGGTGTGTATTTCTTCCCATTTCAGAAAAGCCGGCTTGCCAACCTGTCACTCGGAATGATCCTCATTCTTCTTCCTGTTTATGCTACCTACGTTCCTAAAAAGTGCTAGGAAGGAGAGCTTCTCCAAGTTGGCAGGACACGACAGAACATCTCTGAGGGTTAGGAGCGTGGCCCAGCGACGGGGAGCTTGCCTGGTACACATGCATCCCCGGGTTCCAAGCCCAGCACCCCCAAACAAGAACAGACCCCCTCCTCTGACAGTCAGAGATATTCCCTCTTCCTTCTCCTTAATTTTTTTTAAGGCTGAACAGGTCTTTGGAATCCCTGCATATTGGATCCTATCCCAAACCCACAGAAACACTGATAGGCACAAGACTTGCTTCTAAGAGAATTCTTGCCTTTGCAAGAGAATGTGGGGGGAACGAAATTCGTCACTCTCCAGGTGCTGAGGGGTGGCAGGCTCTGGGTGGCTTAGACTGGGGTCCTCTTTATGTTGACCTCTGCACCGCATCTTCCCACAGCTGCACACCCGGAGGACTGAGCCCTAGCACCCTGTGACCCGGAATGGCCCCTATACACGGTTTTTAAATCATTTGTCTTGTGATAGACCTCCCAGCCGTGGAGTCCAGGTGGAGTTTGGAAGACCACACAGCAGCCTCTGGTCTGCAAGCCGTTGGCATCTCAGCTCTAGGTCTCTGCTCCCAACTGAACAGAGAGCGAAGGCTGCCTGCCGCCTTTCTAAAAGAGGGGCTCCTACACAATCAGCCAGGAGGATGGTGCTCTGCGTGGCACCCAAAGGGTGTCATTCCGAGTGCCAGAGAGAGATCAGAGCTCTGTCCTGGCAGAGGCCAGGGAGGAGTAGCAAGGCGGCGGGGTACAGAGGGGGACCCTGGGTACCAGAGGTAGACGATGGATGAAAGGCTCTATGCTTTTCTATCTGGCCCTCGTTATGCGCGTCTCAGATTCCCAAGGGCTCAGCCTCCGCAGGCCAGCGCTACCAGCCTTGCCTGGCACCCTCAGGAGCACCCCAGGGGCCCCACCACCTAGGTAAAAGGGATCACCTGTGTCAATTGATGAGGAGCTACTCTTAGTGGAGCCAACATGGGCTCCTGTTCAAACCAAAGGCCAGCCCAGTCACGGAGAACTGCCCCCCCTGAGCTGGCACCACCAACTCACTGTCTTCCCACCTCAGTGCCAATCCCGGTGCCGGGGCTACAGAATCTTAAGAGGAGCAGCGAGATAAGGGTCCTAAGCATCTCGGCACATTCCATCACTCCTTGGCTGGTGGGCTTGGTGAGCGAGGGTGGACCGGTTTTGAGCTCTCTTGGGGGTGAGTGAAGACAAATACATAGCCCAGAAGTCACCTTCAGTCCCGGGAGAGTTTTCCGGGAGAGCTTGTGGTGGGGGAGGGAGGCAGCCCCTGGGCTAAGAACCGGCCCAGAAGGGCAGGTGGTCGCAGCTGCGGGGATGTGGAGGGGAGCGCGGGCGCGACACTCACGTCCTCTTGAAGACGCCCCCGAGGGCGCTGCCCAGCAGGAGGCAGAGCTGCTGCGAGAAGAAGACCCAGGAGATCTGGGGCAGCGAGCTGTGCGTTTGGCAGCGCAGGTCCAACAGCGTGGGCCCCAGGAAGGCGATGCACAGGCCGAAGCTGAAGAAGACGCTCCAGTAGGTGAGCGTGGGCTGCAGGTTGCGGCGGAGCAGCCCCGACACCCGGCCGTCGCAGCCCATGACTCGGCCGGCAGCTCGCAGCTCGCCCAGGGCCGAGTGCGCCGGTCGACCGGAGGCCGGGCGGGAGGAGGAGGAGGAGGAGAAGAGAAGAGGAGGGGAGCGCCGCGCAGCTGCCCCGCCCTCGGCCAGCGCGGGGACGCCTGGCGGTCGGGGGCGCCGTGGACGCACGTGTCCCGCCGCGGGGACAGCCCCGCCTCACCTCGCGTCCCCGGGGCCCCCCCGGACTGGAGCCTACGGAGGAGCAGGACCCGCCGGCTCGCGTGCCAAACGCTCCGCGAGCCCTACAGGGCAGCCTTTTCCTCTTGGCGACCTGAATCCTCATCGCTTGATCCTGGGGATGCTGCAGGTGGACTTGGAGAGTCCGCCAGCGCCGCCCTCTATCCCCATCCCTGCCCCCCCCACCACCACGGGAGACAAAGTCTCATGTGAACATTGTTTTTTTTTTGTGGCTTCGTTTGGAACCTCAAGGGGCTCAGCATATTGTCCTTTGGGAACAAACCGCCGCCCCCCCCCACTCCCCCAAACTTGGGTCTTCCTTTCGCTGCTTTTAGGTTCTGGGATTGATCCCAAGGCCTACAGCATGGTAGGCAAGTATCCCCAGTCCTTAGAAACTTAGGTCTTCTCCACTCCAAACTTGGGGATAGGAGGGCAACACCCGCACCTGTCCTGTCACAGGTGGCATGCAGAAAAACCAGGTTCTGATCGAGACTCTGTTTCTTCCCAGTGCAGTGAGGGAGGGCAGAAACCCTAGGACTCCTGGAGTAATTCTGAGGTAACCCTCCAGAGAGAGTTCTCTTTCCACTTGAAAAGGTCTGCACGGGGTGGAGGTGCTTGTTTACACCCCTGGACCCTGCTGCAGACCCAAGTGGCCCTGGATGATTGTGTGTGTGTGTGTGTGTGTGTGTGTGTGTGTGTGTGTGTGTGTGTTCCTGCTCCTCAGGGAGCTAGGTTGTGGTGCCTGTACCAGAACCTGGAGCAGAGCAGTAAAGCCCTCAAGTGTCTCCTTTGCCACATGTTCCAATAGTGGTGGAGGTTGTGACATTGGTGCCCACATGTATCCAGGGGTACCAGGATTGAAAGTTCCCAGAAAGTGTTTGGCTAAGTGACCCCCATGACAACTTGGTATGAAGTGGAGACAATCAACTTCTCTTGCAGCCAGGCCACCTCAAAGCGCTACCCCATACCTGTTTCATCCCGTCCTGGACCTGTCCTGTCCTGGACTGTATTCATCAGAGGAAGCCTCCAGTAAGTGTCCCTCTGTCTCAGTCACTCTGTGGGTGCTGGCGAGGATTAACTTAATGGGGGTAAGGGTGGGCTTTACAGGACTTGGAATACAGTACAAAGTCATCATTTGGAAAACAAACAAACAAACCAACAACAACAACAACAACTCGTAACCACTACTTTTGAGTCCTCTCAGCCACTGCTATAAGATTCTAGACCAATGGGAGCTCAGAGATGGGAAGGGTGACCTTGGGTTCAGAGCCCTACCTCCTCCCCCATGTCCCAGTGATAGCTGGATCTCGTTGTCCCCGACTGCCATTTCTACTGATGGAGAATTTGCTTGTCATTTTCTTCTCATTTTTTTTGTTTATTTATTTTTTTTGTTTTCCAAGACAGGGTTTCTCTGTGTAGCCTTGGCTGTCCTGGAGCTCGCTCTGTAGACCAGGCTGGCCTTGAACTCACAGAGATCTGCTTGTCTTTGCCTCCTGAGTGCTGGGATTAAAGGTGTGTGCCAGCACTGTGCGGTTTTCTTCTCATTTTTAATTGATTTAGGTTTATTTACTTTATGTATGATTTGCCTGCATGAATGTCTGTGCACCACGTGCATGCCTGGTGCCGGAGGAGGTCAGAAGAGGGTGTCAGATTACCTGGAGCTGGAGTTACAGACAGTTGTTAGCCACCATTCCCAGTGGGTGTTGGGAATCCAACCTGTGTCCTCTGGAAGAGCAGCCAGTGCTCTAACCGCTGAGCCATCTCTCCAGCCCCCGCTTGTTATTTGCTAGAGGCTTGCTTCCACTATGAGTCAGCTCTGGGGAAGATGTCTTCCACTGAGCTGGAATGTTCCTCCGGTAACTGTTCCCCGAGGCCTCACACAGAACGACCCTCCTGCTCTGAACCGGTTAGTCTTTCCGACACGTGATCTGGATGCAGGGATTTCACTCGATCTCCAGTCCGAGTACCTGGAACTCTTCATGATTCTTCCAGATGATGCATCCCAGCTACATTGCCCTGCTGGCTGGCTTCTCTGCTACATTGGCAATGACCCTGGTGACAGTGAGGCAGCCCGGGGTCTGGGATGATATAAATATTTTATAGTTTGACCTGAATAGAAGCTACTCTTGTTGACTTTTAGAGGACAGCTCCAATATACTGCATTTTTTGGCAAGCTGAGCAACTTGAGCTAAATAAAAAGTAAAAGGCTAAACGTGTTTAAAATCAAGACCTGTAACCTGTACTTTCCTCTCTCTTCCCCTCCCCACCCCTCCCCTTCCCTTTCCCCCCTCTTCCCCTCTTCACCCCCCTCTTCTTTTTTTCCTTTCCCTTTACACCTTTTGTTTTTGTCTGTCTGCCTATTTCCCCATTAGGTGCTAAGAACCACACTCAGAGCATTATCCATTCCATACTACATGCATGTTCTGTCACTGAGCTAGACCCTCAGCCTTCCCTGAACCCTTCCCTGCCCGGCTCCCCTAAGCATGGAGAGAGAGCTCTGTGGAAATCCCTTCTCAGCACTGAGGCCAGATTACAAATGGAGACCATTGTCCATCTCAGAAAGAATGACTGGGGACCAGGACACACCTGATCGTACTTCTGTGTAAGCTAACAACTGTCCCTGTGCTCATTTGGACTCCAAGAGACTGCCTCCAGAACCAGGCACTTTCTGATAAAATTGTCTAAATGTGTCTATTCTCTCCTCCCCTATAGAAAAAGAGACACCTAAGCCTCCAAGTGACGTTGGTTGGGTAGGTAATCGCACCCCTGTGAGTTCTCCAGTATAGGGGTTTAACTTTTTATCCTAGTTAATATTCCTCAGTTTGTTTTGGCAAACTTTCAAAGGACAGAAGGAAATCTTCCTTTACCCCCACACTACCCAATTAGAAACATCTGTGAAAGCTTACTGGGCTGCACTCTTAAGAAGAGGGCATTTTATCGTATGTAATCTGTACTATATTAAGACAGTAATACAAGAAAGTAAGCAGGAATGAGGTGAACACCCCTGCACTGTGAATCTGGACACAGCCTCCTCACAGGCAGAAGGCTGTTGCACGCTCTACTGTGTGAGGCTTTGGGTGGAGACATCGGATGAGGAGAGACGGGCAGCCGGGAGGTGGACTCCCAAAAGCGATTGCTTGAGAGGCCAGAGGAGCTTCTGCCTGGGAAGACGATACGGAAGAGGTGATGGAAGAGGATCTAGAAGATGAGCCGGGGACAGCTAGGTCAGACTCATCATCCCCTTTCTCTCCTAACTTCTGTCCCCAGCCTCACACATTCTCCACTTCCTTCTGAGGAAGTCCAGCTCAGACGCCGTGAAAGCCAGACGACTTTATCCGAGGTCTAAGAACTGCAGCTGGGCAAAATACAGATGGGACAGTTACGAGGGAGTGCTTCACAGTGATTCATCACAGACTTTAAGTCCAGAGGGAGAGCCACAGTTACATGGGAGGAGGGTCACTGTCAGAGAGACACACCTCTCACCCGCCCCGGCTACTGGTCCTGGCTGCACCCCATTGGTTGAGCTGTCTGCACGGGTAAAAAGTTCGTTAGTCGTTTGTGAGCCTGCTGTATCCAATAAAAGACATTAATACCTTCCAAGGCCTTGGTCCAGCTCAAAGTTCTCATTCCCAAGTCATTGTCATGGCCAATTTAAGAAGTCTGTCTCCCTTGCCAGGAGGCTACGTGCCTATATGCCCAGCACTTGAAAGGTAGGAGGAGGAGTTCCTGGTCACCTAGCTATCTATACAGAGAGTTGGTTAGGCTGCATGAAACCCTGCCTCAAAAAAAACAAACAGTAAATCCCTGTACAGCAGCCTAATGTCTGCATAGATCAGTAGTTCCTTAAAGTCCCCCCAACTCCATTTTATTTTTTATTTATTTTTGGGTTTTTTTGAGACAAGGTTTCTCTGTGTAGTCCTGGCTGTCCTAGAACTCGCTCTGTAGACCAGGCTGGCCTCAAAACTCAGAGATCCACCTGCCTCTGCCTCCCAAGTGCTGGGATTAAAGGTGTGTGCCACCATATCCAGCTTATAGCTCCAATTTTATTTTAAAATCTCCTCAAAGGTTGGTTTTTATGTGGAGGGGAGGCTCACAAGACCCCATCCTTCCTTGAGGATCTTTATGTAGTTAGTAGTTGCTGGAAGTGGAAGAGATATTATTTTGAGTGATGTGGCTTCTGGTAAGTCACTCATGTTCCTATAAATAACGCCCCTCTTGGGGTCCTGTAAGTAACCCTAATTTAAATTCATTGGATCAACACACACACACACACACACACACACCACACAAAACACACACATACCACACAAACACACACACCACACACATACACACATACACACATCCCACACAAAACACACACATACCACACAAACACACACACACCACACACACACATGCACACACACACACAAACACACACACCGCACAAAACACACACACACACACACACACACACACACACACACACACACACACACACACACGAAAGTACCAGGAGGAGTAGTTGGGAACAGGAAAGGCGTCTGTGGGGATGGGAGGGGGACAAGAGAGGGTAATAGGGGGAAGAAAGCACATTATGTACACATATGAAAATGTCGTCATGAAGCCCATTATTGTGTATTTAAAGTAAAACCAGACTGGGGGCTGGAGAGATGGCTCAGTGGTTAGGAGCACTGGCTGCTTCTCTGGAGGACCAGGGGTTTGTATCCCAGCATCCGCATGGCAGCTCACAGCCATCTATGACTCTAGTTCCTCGTCTGGCCTCAGCAGGCCATGGGCACACAAGTGTTGCACAGACATATATATATATATAGGCAAAATATCCATACACAGAAAATAAAAATGAAAGACTTTTAAAAAAGGAAACAAACTGAGGGGCTGGAGAGACGGCTCAGTAGGTAAAGGCACTGGCTGCCAAGCCTGAGGACCTGGGTTCGATCCCCAGGGCCCATGTGGTGGAAGGCGAGAACTGTGTCCACACACTAAAATAAATACGTAAAATGTGAAAATGAAATAGAAACACAGTTCAAATAAAAGGAACACGTCCCCCATCTCCACCACAGCTAGTCTTGGGGCAAGTTTCTCTTGACTCTATATTCCTTTAGGAACCTTCCTCAGATAAATTCTGTCCGATTCCCTTCACCCTTCACTTCTGACTCAGCTCTCATTCAGGACTGTTGCAGCTGCTACCAGCCTCTACACCGCACAGGCAGCCTTCAGTTGAGTTCTTGGGCCCCAGGGCAGTAACCTAAGTTCTAGCTTCCTGCCCCTTTCCCAGGATGCCCCACCTGCCAACAGGACAGCTGGGAGGTGTTATTTGCACAACTTCTTTACAACTTTTGGTTTTATATTTCTGTACCTTATCTCTCAACTAAAACAAGTTCCCTAAGGACGGGGCTGTCCTGTTTTTCCTTCTCTTTCTTGTTTTGTATAAGACAGATCTTGATCACTTTTGAGACACACATAGCTGCCCTTGAACCCATAGCCGTTCTGCCTCAGCATCCCGAGCATGAGGATTACAGGCATGTGCTACGGCATCTGACTGTATTTTTCATTATGTTGTGTATTTAGACTTTTTAATCCATCTTGAGGAGCGTGGGGGTCCCAGGGATGGGACTCGGGTCTTCAGACTTGTCAGCAAGGGCCCGTACCTGCTGAGCCATCTCACCAGCTCCGGGTTGTGTATTTAAAAATCTGTTCTTAGGGATAGGGATGTAGCTCATTGGTAGAGTATTGCCTGACATGTGTGTGAGGTCCTGGGTTTGATCCATAGTATCATAAAAACAGAAGACCTCGCCTATGATTTCTTTCTTTTTAAGGGAAATGCCCCCCATCCCTCCTCACAAGCTCTAGGGAGGAATTCCAGACCACCACCACTACTCACTCCCCCAATCCCTGCCACCAAATGTGAAGAACCTGGGAAGAAAGGGTGGGCAGACATGAAGGGTTTCTAGCTGGAGATAAGCCTATTGGTCTTCAAAAGCTACCTGCTCCGAAGCTCCTCTGGCCTTCCTGGGTCCCTTCATGGGACTGGTAACTTACCCCTACCCTGACTGCTTGTTCACGGCTGCTCTTTGAAGACAAGGACATGGAGTTTGGGTCTTGCTGGGTGCCTGGGTCTCCTAGTTCTTCACACTGAAATCCTGTGCTTAATTGGGAAGCTGCATCAATCTGCAGTCTTTTACACAGGGGTGGGCAGGGGGGTTGGCGGGAGGGGGAAAAACTGACCGCACCCTTGCCACTCTTCCTTTCTCTTCATCCCTGCTGCCAGATTCCTTAGTGTCCAAATCCACGCTGCCCAGCTTGGTTTTGCTACCGTTTCTATTAGAATGGAAAAACCTTCAAAGTAAAAATAATGTAACAGGCGAAATGGTCTGACGCCCCCAGGTTATGGGGATGTCACCGGGCTTTTGGGACTGTCATTATGCTTTGCTGCATCATCTCAGTGACCCTGAAGCCCTGCAGAGTCTCAGGCCTGCCTGGAGCAGCACCAAGAGGTCTGCAGTTCAAGGTCAGTCAGCACACTCTGCCATTCCTGTGGCCAGCCTGGAGCACGAGGTCACCCCTTCCACACCCTGAATACTGTCATAACCACCGCCACGTCATTGCCTTGCTGGCAGCGGTGTGGAACAGGCTTCCGTAGGCTGCGTGTGGGGTTGGCCTGGGGCGGGTGAGATAGCTTGGTGCCAAGAACATTACCTTGATAGGCCATCTTACCACGCATGAACTGGAATGGAGCAGAGGCAGGTGTGTGTGTGCACAGAGAGCCTCCTTTACCAAATATCCACGTGAAGTCCCAGCGCCCAGCCTGCCTGGAAAGGGGAGGGTGTAGTCACCCCAGGTGTCAAGGAAGACAGGAGGGATGGGAAAAGGTGGCACTTTATAGAGAGTCAAAAACCCCCTGGAGAGACTTTGCACAGGAGCCGGCATTTGGTCGGCGTTTAGTATGTGTCAGTGTTTAAAAGTACTGGCTGTAGACAGCCCAGCTTGGAGAGGCCAGAGGACTCTGAAATTGTCTCATGCGATCTCCCGCTGGAAAGTGGAATTCCACCCCTAGCATCCCTGCAGACAGTCACTCAGTCTCAGCTTGAACAGGCCCAGGATCGTAGCCGGAGGGGGCTTATCTGCAAGAGTGGAGACTCAGGGCTCTCCTCTCTAAAATGAGGAGAGTTGTGACTCCTACAGAGAGCAAATGTCAACAGTACGCAGCATGGGAGCCAGTCCCTATGAATTCTTTTTCTTTTTTGGAAGGAGGGGATGAGGAAAGTATTCTTTTTGTAAGTCACTGGGCAACAGAAATCTTTTCTCTGCTGTGAGAAGCCAGTCCTTCTAGTTTGTCATTTTTTTTTTTTTTTTTTTAACACAGCCAAGGATGACCTTGAACTTCTGGCCTTCCTGCTCCACCTCCTGAATGCTAGGATTGCAGGCATGCACCACCGCACCTGGTTTAAACAATGCTGGTGAAGCCAGGGCTTGGTGTATGCTAGTCTAGCGCTGTGCTGTTGGGACTCCATTCCCAGCAATCCCTGTGAATTCTTCTTATTTCAACAGCATCACAAACTGATGTCCTGGTTGGGCACACTAAAGACTAGCAAAGTGCACTCATGGCCTAGCAGCAGAAGCATGTCCAAAGAGCTTACTAGAAATGCAGATTCTAGGTCCTGCTGAGTTAGAAACAGGATTAGCTGTGTCTAAGCAGGCTTCCAGGGGTGTGGAGGTGGCTGAGGTTTAGAATCAGCCCTTTAGAGCAACACCGTCTACTCTGCTAGCCAGGCAGCCCTTACCACTTCCTGCAGCTACCCATTTCCCGCAGTTCTCATATCATCTAGCCATCCAGGAGTGCTCCGATGGCCAGCGACTTTTAAAAACAATGTCCCCAGGGCTCCTAACGACTGTTGTCACCTTTGTTCTGGAAATTCTAGTGTGGGGGCGTTTTATTGTTGTTATTTTGTTTGTTTGAACAAGATGGTCTGCATCCCGATGCTGAGGTTATAGGTACGTGCCACTACACTCTGGTCATACCGCGCTGGGGATGGTCACACACACACTAAGCCAGTGCTTACCAGCTGAGCTACATCCCCAGCCCTGGACTTTGGTTTTGTTTTCTGTTTGTGAGATGAAGTTTTGTAGCGTAGCCCAGGCTAACCTCAAACTCAAGGTCTTCCTGCTGCAGTCTCCTGAGTACTAGGATTACAGGCGTATATCATCACTCTGGCCTTTATTCTGGGAATTCTGACAATTATCTCAGGCCTGCTCTGTTCTAAACAGATGATATATTGTTTGTCTTTTGTTTTTTTTAATGAAGTTAAACTTACATATACTAAAATGTGCATGTATTAAGAGAAATAACATGGTGAATTTTGACATGCATACACATCCCTGTGACCTCTGGCCAGAACGAAGTCTAGGACAATTCTAGCGCCCACCCAAGACAAGCCAGAACATCTGTTCTGTGAGAGAGTATCTGGTTCCCCTGCATGGCCAGGCAATAGCCTGTCCTCTGGACCTGCCATAGTTCCTCACCTCTCTGCTTTTGGTGGACATTCAGATTGTTTCCAAATAGAATCTACAAGGCACAGGGTTCTTCTGAACACCAC